AGGAAACTTTCAGAATTCAATCGAACTTGCACAAACGACATACAAAGTAAACAACATGGTACGGTCTCATTTGTTTCGATGCGTGAGGAAGGCTATCTTTGTCCGACGTTGTCCTCAACGTTCGAATTAACACTGAATTAACCAATCAAGACATTCTCACATTCCCGAATCCTCTACCTCAGATTCGGCATATTGGCGTATATGGTGCAGGAAGCTCCACCAAAAAGTACAGCACTGGCAACGCAGCTGAGGTCGTTGCAGCTTGCGACGACAGCCTTGCAGCTGTCAAAAACAGAATCTGCACAGGCACGTGAAGGCCTTGCATGAGCAACCGAGATCACTTGCCTCGTCAGTGCCGACTTTCGGTCCAGGCCATCCAGAAGTGCCGGCAGCAGCACCGCTGAGACCTTGGTACAAAAATGCTGCCCAGGTGATAAACACTAGAGTCTTGCAGCAGCTGACAGCCCCGCATAAAGTGCCACGCCAATCCCTGTGATTAGAGGTAGCGTGGCCTCGTCAATAGAATGATCCTCTTTCGGATATGCTCGTCAGAAGCTAAAATTCTATTCCTCATCAGAAGCTAAAATGCAATTCCTCACCTCGTAACTGGCACCACCTGCCAGCTCCACCGCAAGAACCACAGACGTGATAGGAACCTTGACGTGCGAAGGTCAAGGGCCCGAGCATTACTTCCAAAGCAATTTTCGGCAAAGCAGCGCTGCAGTTCGCAGCAAGCATTGAGGCCATGCCCACCACAATGTACGTTGAGGTGGCCTGTGTCCAGACTGGCGTGCAGCAAAAAGCTCTTCTGTAGATTTCCGATCTTCGAGGCAGATTCCAGTTGCTGCCAAGGCTCCGAATGAGCCATCATGGAGCCCTGCAGTGATCTCTCATGCTGCACAATCTCCACGCTTACGGGAAGACGACCATCTCTAAAGACTTTCGGATAATATCATCGCAGGGGTGTGGGGCATTGGGATTCTCAGGGTCAGCGAAAGTCAAGTGGGATCGGCCAGTATCTGAGACGCCATGGCAACCTTACACAGAGAACTCTGGCCTCAATAAGTCGCCCAAGGGCGCCCCCCAAGCATGCACCGATGTAGATGGAGGGAGCAAACGTACCTGCCGTAGCATATGCTACAACGCCAGCCACACTGCCTCTCGCCAGGCACCTCCCACAAGACCAGTTGCGGAAGAGAAGGTCGTTGCCACAACTTTGACTGCCTCTCAGCCAGAACTTTATGGCAGGGTGCTCCCACTGACATGCAGGAAAGGCACCATCAGAATCAATAGTGTCGCTGCACCAAATAGACCCGTAGAGCCGCGCTCCTGCGTGGACATTTCAGCTTTTCGCATTCTGAATGATTCTGCCAGTCACAGCATCTGACGCTCTAGACCTGTGATCCGCAACCCCTCCCGCCCATGTCATCGGCCGTCCTGCAGCAGCGGCCCAAGGTCGGTGTTCGCCAGGGTCAGCGGCTGCGAGGCGTCTTTCAGCACTTCGTTAACTGCCTCGCAACGACTGATGCTGGTTGGCTGGTTGCTCCTCTTGTTGGATCTTGTTGGTCCTGTGGGGATTTGCGGGTTAGGCGCACCCCAAAGCCATCGAACTGCACACGGGAGTTGACCGCCAGGGAGAGCACAACAGTCATCAGAGCACCTGCCTTCAAGCAGAGGTTTGTTCATTTACTTGGATTGCCCAGACTGTCTTGCACACGGCTCAGGCTGTGGCGACTGGTAGCAAAATAGTCGGCCAGCCACTTTCGCCAAGAAAGGATGCCACATCACGTGCAAGTGCGGCAATTTTCTTGTAGCTATACGCCATGAAGCCTGCGCTGCCACCGGGCCGATGAGTTGGTCAAGTGAAGATAAGTTCTTGCAGGCCTGTCGACACACCCAGCAAGAGGAAGAACACTAGCTCCTCAGTTCCATTCAAGATGAGCTACTACTCAACCGCCTGACACAAACATTTCACCCCAGGTCCCGGGCAATGTTGCCCCCTTCCCATGCGAACTCACTCGTCTTGATAGCTGGTCCACCCTCGGAGGCACGTCTGAAAAACCATTTCTGCAACATGCCGCTTGGAGGCCACCGGCCTGCAACCCACAAGCCCCGAAGCCACTTGCTTGGCAAAGTGGACTTGGATGGGCTTGGGCCGAGTGAGATGGGCTTGGGGATGCCGGCGGAAATGCAGGGGAAAAGGGTCGAACCATCAGTCGGAGTGAATGGCCGAAGACACTGCGAGGAAGCTGCCGGAAGATAGGACTGCACGACGGCAGCGCTCACTGCAGCAGCCAAGAGCCTGAGACGGCGCAGCACGTGCGACAAGTTGTGGCCACGGCATGGCTGCTTCAAGACGACCTCGTCGTAAGGTCCAACTGGTTGTCATCAGCTGGTCTGACCACCTCCAGCACAATGGCAAAATGGCAAGCCTACACAAGCAGAAGCCGTGTGCTCATCTGCCGGCCTCGGAAGCGAAGAAGATGCCCGCAATGGGGGCATTGAAGCCTCGAAAGCACTGAATGACTGACAGAGCTGATCACGCGGTTCGCATCTTGAAGTCTTGGGAACATACAATTCCACTCTCTGCCCAATTTTCTGTAGTTGAGCTGAGACCAACTCCGGCAGCGACACCAGCAGCTGCCCCTGATGCCAGCAGCGCATCCGGGTTCTGGTTCATCCTCCAAGTGGCAAGGCCAACTGTACTTGCACATCTTACACTTCAAATTCAAAAGCCATATGCAAATGTTGGACCGCAGCACTGCACAAGCCATGTCAGGAAACGTTGGTGAAATTAGCCCGTCCCACTTGCAACCTACGCTAGATTACGCTAAGAAGATACAAATCGTTTGAGTTGCGCACGAGTGACGAATGCTTGAGTCATGTGCGATTCATGTGCACGACCATTGGAGAGAAAGACGCTCTCTGCTCGTTGAGCACTCAACGGGTAAAGCCGGATTCCTACAATTCAGAAGAAACCAAAGGCCCCAGACAACAAGAGACCCTCTCGCTCCTTGCCATGGAGCCTTCGGAGCGACCACCACAAGCCTCGAAGGACTTTCGGTCCACGCTCCAAAGAACGGCATCTGTGCGTGCCTGAAGTCAGGCGTCAGGCTTGCAAGAGAGGCTTCACAGGCAAAAGTATGTCCACTGGCATGAGAGATCATGAGATACACTCACAGTCGGCATGAAAAGGACGCAAGCTGCCTTAACCGTGGCAGCACGAGGGGCACGAAAAAGTACTGCCAACTCACCAACCACCGACCCGCGCTTCTCATAAGTGAAGACCTGTCAATGGCACTCATAGCATACTGCGAATCACTGCATGTGTGTGTGTTTACCTGGCGAACAAGCCTTCTTCTCTTCTTCACCATCCGGGACGTACACGTCCAAGAGACCACTCTTCCTGAAACCGCATGAGACAACAACAGAGTCGAATCACGTCATCCCACATCCCTTGCTTCAAACGGCGATTTGACTTTGGCAGAGCTTCGTCACAAATAGCCCTGGCTCATCATCACTGACCTTGACAGGAGCAGGCGGCTGGCTGCAGGGTGGCAAACAAGCTTTGATGGAGCTCCGACTGCCACGGTCTTAGCGTTCGACTTCGTCACCCACCTTCATCAGGGTTTCGCCTGCTTGGAGATTGACCTGTGATGGGCTATCCTCCCTCGTGCTATTGATGCGTGACTGCATGTGACTGTGACTGCATGTGAGCAAATGACTGCATGTGACTGCTTGACACACACACACACACCCTCCCGGCACCTTTTGGAAGTACTTCAACAAGCGTTCCAGCTCCTTCGATGGCGCTTCGGTGAACTCAGACTCGCTATTGAAACTGTCGAGATCGGCCTTTCCAGGCAAACTGGCGACCACCTTGGAGCCCTCAAGGGCTTTCTCGATCAGCTCACGGTCCTCGTTCAGGACGCAGGTCATCACAGGTCGTGAACATCATCACACACACACACATACACGGAACGACATGCTGCCATATTGCTACAAGAAATCCCATCCTCACACCAGCATGCACCATGAACATGCACATGTATGCATGCTACTGCAACTACTCAGGTCGACTTATGCAGAAAGCATATCCGAAGCCTCCTTGCTTGTTAGCGGCCCGTCTGTTGACTCCTGATCCGAAAAAAGAGGCCGTGCAAGCTCATGCCCATCTATGACAGTTTTCCGCGATCCATTCTCAGACATCCTACACCGCTCCTCAGCAGCTGTCTGCGCTCCAAAGATCGAAAAGACCTGCAACTATCTGCAACTGCAAGAGCACCACATGCACGATCATGCGCGGACATCTGCTGTCCTCGCTGTGCCTTCGACTGTCTGTTCCCATTGTGGGGTTCGGCAGGCGCCTTTTTTATCCACAGCCGTGCCTCTTGCAAGGACAGCTATGACCTTCCTGGGGGTCGTCTTGGCTGGACATGGTCACATCGTGGAGTCCCAGGGTGGTGCTCAGCTAGTTTCGGCCCACACGCGTGTCGACCATGCAGTACCCCAGCTCTTCCACCAAGGTGTGAATGGGCTCTGCCTCAAAAAAAGATCTTTGGCATCATGATGCTGGTCGGATCATGTGGATCTTGCTCCGTGTTTGCGGGCCTTGGTGTGCTCGTTCAGCTCGTCCTGCCTCGCGAAACCCCCACTCAGCGCTCAATGCGCTCAGAGATTCGAGATGCTTCCAATGTGACTCCCACATGTGCCTCCCACATGTGCCTCCCACATGTGCCTCCCACATGTGCCTCCCACATGTGCAAGCAAGATGCCAAAGGAAAAACGGCAGAAGAAACTGATCCCGCTGAATCTCATGGCACTTGAGAAACGTCTTCTCAAAAGCATCCTCGATTCATTCATGGTTCATCTTAGACTCGCAAGATTCTAGGAGCTTCCATGAGCGTCGTCAAAACTTGCTGATTCGGGCCGAGCATCTCTCACTTTGTGGGCCCGAGTGTGCTTGAGGTTGCGAAATATCACCTCAGCTTGGGCTAAGACGCGTTGACGTGACGATAAAGGAAGGATTGCGACTGCAAGGGCAGTAAGTCCGGAGCGTTTGTTTCATAATAGTCCGGCGGCGAGTACGTCCTTGCAATGGATATTGAGCACTTGCTGTGACAATCCACAAGGCAGAGTCACGTAGTCGGGGCATGGACTTATTGGCAAGACCTTCTGTCTCTGCCAGAAACATTTCTTTGTAGTCCCCGTTGGACAGCGGAGTACAGGGAGGATTATGCTGCCAAGCTTCCGGCCAGCATGCGTCAATTGGCCCAGGTGCATTTTTTCAAGAAGTTCCTGGGAATTGCTCAGACAGATGTACACTGTACTCCCATATACTCCCATCATGGGAAGAGGGATCCTGTAGTGATGCCACAAGCGACTCATCCTGGTCACTCGGCCAAGCTGCCTTCCATCTGACGACATTCTCTTTTGAAGAGGCTACCTCAAAGACACGTGACCGAGACTGTGTTGACTCAGTGTTGACATCATCTCATGTCCAAGGCTGAAGTCCAAGCAGCATACTGGATCCGTTCTGTGAGCATGCTGGTCACTTCTGTCTCAAAGCAATCAAAGGCATCACCAGGACACTCCTTATGGTAGCCCCAGTTCAGCATAACCTGGGCACAGCCGCAATGCTCCAGGCCAATGCACATGGCTCTGCCACGCGATGCAACTTGATCAGCTTGGGAGCCAGGGCCTGCTGGCTGCGCTGTCGCAAGAACGGCCCTAACCTATGCAGGTCTATCGCGATATTGGCATCATACTCAACCAGCCAGTGCCAGGTGCCTCGCGCGCTGCATCGCTTGATGGAAGCATAAACACGACGCAACTCGCCAGGTTCTCGCCGAGGCACCATTCAAGAGCCAACCCGGTGGTGCAAACTTCCTCGGCTGCGTGGCATCAAGCGCAGATTCATGGAGCCCTGAAGAGCATCTGGAGGCCACCGTGCCACAACCATTGGCATCAGCTGTCCCGGGAAATGAGGGCAGGGGGTCGCTCGCTTCTATTCCAGTCGCAACTGCAGCAAGCCGAGTGGCAGCGACTTGCTTGTGAGCCTGGGACCCGACACGTAATGGGTTCCTGTCAGGGCCACCGCTGCTCAAGGATGTGCACTGTCGATGGATATGTCCTGCCTGGAATCTGTGTGAAGTTCAGGATGTGCCAACCCTGTGCTTGCCACTTCTTCAACGCTGTTTTGCCAAAACGTCTTTGACCAATGTCCTCGGACAAGCACTTCGGGTTTCTACAGAATTGTCAAGCGACAGGAGGGAGTCAAACCGGCCCTAGAGCCTGCACAGATTTGCCCAAACTGAGTTCTGCGCGTCCACAAACCTTACCAGGCGATCTATCTTGATACAACACAAGAGTAGAGCAGATAGAGCAGGCATCTTGCATGATGATACTTAAAGCCCGCAGACTCATCAGACTGCAGCCGAGTTACAGGAAGGCATCAATATCGGGCGGGGCACACGGAATGTGGTCATCGCGCATCGCTTCATAGCCACCTTTCGCGAACCGACCCACGAAGGCCACAGTAAATGATAACAAGAAGGTGAGGAAGATGAAAGAAGGACGCAATTGGTCGACAAGCGGCCAATGTTGTATGTATACCTCACTCGCGCCAGCAGTCAGGTTCATCAGAACTCCGGTCTCACAAAATGTCATGTGTCTCAACTTTGCAACCATCGCTCCATACTGCCGAGCAGCACCGCGATGCGAGGCTTCGCGCGATTTGCCCGGTGCGACCGGTGCTTCCTGACCGCATCTCTGTGCACGTCGCACGTATACTCCTCACCTCGGTCATGAAGCTCAGGAACCAACATGACACTTTTATAACCCACGCTGCCATGCGCTGTAGGCTGCTACATCGCTCTGCCCGATTGGTCCCAAACTGCAAGCTGGTGGATGATGGTTGTCGACCCGGAGCCCCTTGATCGGACATTCGGACATGTTCACTGCACAAGCACATAGCACTTTAGGGCCTTTGCAGACTTTGTCGCGATGCAGACTTGGTGCAGGGCCTCTCCTGCCTTGATTTTCTGCAAAAAAGCCGCTTCCTGACCCACAGAGCCATTCATGCGCAGCCGGTAGATTGTGACATTCAAACACTTCTGCAGAAGGGCGGCGTGAGTGTGGCGCATCCGACGCAACAAGCCAGGGGAGGATGCCCATGCCAAAACAAGGCTACTCAGACCTGACTCAAGACATGGCTGGCTTGGCTTCAGGGCTGAAGGCAAGGATGAAAAAAACTGAGTTCGGCCACACCAAACTGTCCGATGACAGCACGCCATGAGAATCTCTTTCACCTCAGACTTCCATCAGCTGACCACGAGAGATCTACACCCACCTTGTGATCGCGCACCCGTTTTATCGAAGCCACATAACAACACGAGACATGGACAGCCTGCTCATAGGATGACTTGAGCCGAAAAGCCACTGAAGCTAGCAATTTCAGGTAGGAACTGTCATGAACCAGATCGCAGACTCTCGAAGTAGCGCATGAACGCGCACATGATTCCTTGCCTGACCCAACCCAAACGCAACATTGGCACCTTCAGGCACCCAATTCAGTCGCGCATGTCTAACCGAGATCTTGCATCTTCTGGCTGAGTTCTCAGTGACAAGCCCAGCGTCGCTGCAGGTGCTTCAGGGCCCAGGGAGTTGCCCGTGCCTAGGGTAACGGCCGCAGACCTTGCTTGAAAAGGGCTTCACAATGCAAGCCACTTGAAGGAGACACTGCTGGACGCACAATGACACGTGCGATCAAGATGTTGTCTCGGGACCAGGCAGGGCATTGGCCCCGGCCCTCAGCGGCCAATTGGCCGGTGGTTCTGGCCCACCTCGTGCGTCGAATCTGCAAGGCGGCGCCTTGTTTCCTGCTACAAGTCGGCGACTCAGTAGAACACACGAGTCCCGCGCCTGCCGTTGCATACGATTTCCTTGGACATCGCACATGTGCCAATGTTGCTGGCCATGCATATGTCTTCAAGACTACGTCCGAGAAGGCCCTGAGCAAGCAGCAAGGATTTGATGTCAGCGCCCGCAAGGCCCTCTTTGCCACCGAACGCAGCAAAAATCCCTGCCAGCAACAGCGCACCTGAATCTGGAAAGCATCCATGTGTGCTCATGTTAAACTGAAACTTCGCAAACCAAGCCAAAAACGTGGGGTGCCTTCTCTTTGGGGATCACTTTCGGGATCTTCGGAGTCCAAGGTGCCGAAGATCGGAGCAAGAACCGGTTGTGGAAGTTCCTCACGGAGCTCCTTTCCAAGTGTCGAACTTCTTTGTTCAGCATTTTTTGATCTACTGATCTACATCTCAAAGCAAGAGGCTCCTCAAGAGTCGTGATGACTTCTTCGAACAGCACCACAGCAAAACCTTCACAAAAAGGACACATGGGCACACGTTGTGTGAAGCTGCGTGACAGCGGCTGCCCGCCTGTGGATAAGCCAATTAGCGTGCTGCTAAGCAATACCTCAGCCGACATAATCCAAGGACTTCCACGAAAGACTGTTCCGTGCAAAGAAAGCAGTGTCATGTGGCGAAAAATGTCAACAGCCCGGCTTGCTTGTAAGTCAGTGGCAGTGGGACCTTCCGGCCCCAGTAGCTTGAAACCTTCGTAAGGATTGGGCACCGCACAAGCTACTTGTTCCGATGTCACGGCATTTTGTGACTGTCCCACGCCTGTCTAACCATCTGACTGTTGACTGACTGCTGCCTTGGAACTCGCTGCCCGAGCAACTTGCCCTTGCGAAGTTGCCGAAGTACGACGATGACGGAACAACTGCCTGGACGGAACTGCGCAATACTGTGACGACACTGACGACACGAATCGTCTCAGCAGGAACTTGTAGCCTTGTAAGCACCTTGGCATTCTGCAGTACACGTCACTAGCCCGCTAGCTGGGATCATCCCTCGAATCTGTTCTGATCTAATTACACTGGCCATCTCTGGCCATCACTGGCCTCACAGCCGAGCCAGCCAAAGCCAGACCGACACAGTGGGTCATCGTTGGACCCTGACAGCGCAGGAAACCAAAATGCCAAGATTGCTAGACCTGTTGACCTGATTGCAAAAGCTTCAAGGTGCGTTCTTGCGCAAAATTCTTGCAGATGTCCCTCTCCTAGCTCTACCCAAGCATAAGTGAATACCACAAACCCGATACAGTACTATCTGGACGGACAGTTTTTTGAAGTCGACCGCGCTCCCATGCATGAGAATGCTGCCGTTTGGCCTGGAATCTCTGTGAAGGCGAGGCAGAAATTGAAGACTCACCGCCCTGCAGCGAGCAGCGAGCAACCAACCGCGCGGCGGGCAACATTTCAAGTCAAAGGTGGCTGGCGCACGGAAACCTGAGAGCTCAAGCGCAAACATCTCCCAGAAGGAGCGATGATCCAGCAGATGCCTCACAGGTGGCATGAGTTGGCCACATAGGGTTTGGGGGTGCTCTGGCATGCTTTTGGTGTCGCCTGTCGCTAGAAAAGCGACAACGGCTACTCGGCGTCGAGGCGCCATGGCCCTGGGATGCAAAAGCGCATAAACAGGCACACAAAGGCTGAATAATGCTGAACAATGCTGAACACAAGTCGAGCCTGCAAAGGGTGTCACAGACCCCTCTGCGCGTTGTGCGGGCTTAAACCTGCTAAGGCTTGCTGTACATGAGCTTTCTATGCCTGCGGACGAAACGCACGCACAAAAGGACCGTTTGCGCATGTTTTGTTCTGCCTGTGCTTCCTCGAGCATGCCACGACAAGGGCCAGATGTTTTTTCAACTCATACCGGAGACTCCAGCTTCCCTCATTCGATGGCGCACCCTCATTCGATTGCGCAGGCTCGCTGCAATGGTTACGCACTCTTGTTGTGGGTGTTCTTGGTGCCAAAGGTCTGGTGGACTCTCCTTTCGTGGGGCGCTGCTGGCACACCGTGGCCGTGAGCAACTCCTTGTCCATCTCCCGGCTCTTCGTGCCCAATCGTGCCCACATCGTCTCGAAGAAGCGCAACGGCGAACGGTGCAGCCGGTGCAGCACTGGTTCGTGTGCCGAGCCACTGCCGCACTCAGCCGTACTCCGTCTCCAGCGGATGCCTGAGGATAGCAGCCGGAGCCTCATCAGCTAGCCCAACCTTGGTGGCAAGAAAAAACCCAAGATGGTCCAACAGAAGAATCTCCCGCAGCAATCTCCGCGACGTCAGATTGGACAGCTCATGACGATTTGAATGATGCACTGAAATGCAAGCTGGGTTACGAATCGGTCACCTTGTAGGATGCGGTTCTGCCGCCGCTGACATGGCCTCAGCACGCAAGTCGTCTGTTTGTGCAATGTTCTGGCAGTACCATCTTGTCCGCAACGCATTCAACTCAGAATCTCACCCATCCTGCAAATGCTTTGCGAAGGAAGCATAGCCACTTCCTCAGCAAAGTCGACGGCTGAGCAAGTGCCATGCAATCGGTGGGCCCGAAGCAGAAACTGTACCTCAGAATTTGGCTGTGCAATGCACGGGCATATCCTGCGCAGTCTGCAAACACTCTTTTACCATGTACACGACACGCGAGTTCAGCTTGATCCACTCAGCAAGCTCCTCCAAGAAGACGGAGATCTTCTGCACCCAAGCCTTGCTCAACGAGCCTGAACAAGGCCATCGATTTGACCGTAGTATGGATGAATGTGGTTCCATGTCGTCCCTTCACTCATGCGACACAGGCCTCTCATTGCGCGGGTCTGAGAAATCACGATCTTGAGATATTACAGGCAGCGCAATGCACCTTATGGCACTGATGCTTCGCCGGGCAGCGTCCACGCTAAGGGCAAAAAATTGATCCTTGCACAGAAACGAGCGTGCCCTCTGCGGGATGCTGGGGTCTGCGCCAGTCGTCTTGTGGCAATCCTTCACTGCCTTCCCAAACCCAGAAAGCAATCAGTGAGAGTTGCAGCGGCTTGGCGCACAATCGGTCTCATGCCCTGCCCTGCCTGGCATGTTGTCTAGGGCAGCTCTGCCATTTCCTTTCACATCCACGAGTTGATGCACCAGAACTTGGATACTTCGCCCCAAAAGCGCCGCGCTGTCATCTTGAAATTGACTAGTTGCCTGACTCAGTGCCTGACTCACATACTCACCGATGCCCTCTTCAGAGTTCCAATGGTACAGCAACTCAAGCCTCGACATTGGGCAAACACATCCTTGCACTGCATTGACGCAACACTAGTAGCTCCCCATCGTGTGTTTCCCTTGGGTTCAAGCGCTTTCGCAGGGCACCTCACAAGCCTCACGAACAATGCACAAACTTGCTGACTAAGCGCTCAGCTTTGGCACCACCATCTACCAAGCCTCCAAGCAGCCCCAAGGCGGCACGTAGCGAACGGATACACCTGCAGGCTCACATTTTTGTCAAGGATGTTTCGCGGCCACTTCCACCTGATTCAACCCGAGCCGCGCACAACATCCATTGGCATATGCCTCAACAGCTCAAAACACATGCCTCTCAGCTGTGCGACGACTGTCGGATAGGATAAACTCCTTGCTTGGATCCTCACCCACCCCATGCCTGGAATGGATATCTGTGATGGCCCTGGCAGCGCTGATTGCTGCAGCTCCGCTTACTTGACAACTCGCATGGGAAACTCCTAAAATTCTAAAACCCATTCGGACTCCACCTCCCCCTTTCCATTGGTGATGGTCCCAGACTCGGAGTCCTCACCACAGAAGAAAAGCGTGTAACATACCAAAGGCTCAATCAAAAGCTTTTTGCTGCAGGGTGGAACCAATGCCACTCATAATGCAGCGTGGGGATCATTCTACACAAGTCAAACAAACAGACCTTCATGAAAAAGTAGAACTCGATTTTGCAAGGAGCTTCGAACGAGAGGCCTTATCCACTCAATACGACTCCATAGAAACAACCGCAAGATGCTTCATCCGAGTCAGCGCCGCACTGATACAAACAAGCTTGTGAAAATACCTTCGCCGCGTAAGCGCATTCACGTCCAGCCAAACACCCAATGGAACAAAAACTTGGGAAGCAGCTGCAGAGCACATGGTGGCCAACCGCGCCCCTGCCAAGAACATTGAGCGCGCAAGTTTTTTTGCTAAGCCTCGCCATGCAACTCCCACCTGAAGCTCCAGGGACAGTCGGGTACCTTCGATCTGCCAAGTCGTGCTGCCTGGGAGCCACGAGTCTGACACAAGCCAATTTGATTTGGTTTCGTGACACCAACGCCACCCCAAGCACAGCGCCTCCAACAAACACCATGAGCTCAGCATCGTTGTCAACAACATCCCACCTGTCAAACCCCATTTTTTGGCTGACCTGCCCCCCCCCCCTCCCTCACCAGCCCGTAGGACCAATACGACGATGCACCCATAACTGGCGAAAAAAGCATGTTCTTTTCGATGTGCGCAAGCGATCAATCGCAGGCTGCCGTTGCTTCCCGAACATGGCCACACTTGCCCACAGCATCAGCGTCCGTGGCAGAGACTGTTTCGGCCTAAAGACACCAACGCGGCAAAGTCACCTGGGTGCCTTTTGGAAAAAATTGGGATGTTGAAACATAGATTCATAGTTCTTCAGCAACTTCGAGATAATTGATTGTCGTGCAAAGATGTATCATGTCACCCATTGACCCACCCATTGCTGACAAGCTTGAAAAAACTCGAGCTATGTACCACGGTTGCCAAGTCCTGCAGGTAGCTCTCAAAGCACGGCGCCTGAAAGCAATAGCTTTGAGCATTGGCTTCAGAACCTTCAGAACCGCTGACTTTCGAATAAAATCCCACACCAAGCTGACCGATCCCACTTCTGACTTCCGAGCATGCGGCCATCTTGTTGCAACAAATTTTGCAGGCACTTGAGCATGCTGTTGAGCGCGGCTACGGGGTGGCACGTCGTTGCGAGTTGCCCAATGCATCGCATGCGGCAAGAAAATTCAAGTAATGATTGCTGTGTCTGCGGATTGATGTGGCACGGATTGTGCAGCTCTCACAGCCAGCGCTTGAGCCCATGCCTCTATGCAAGAAGCAGCAATGTGTCACTAGTGATGAAACAACGGTTTAGAAGCAGCCGCCAACCGCTGCAGCAGAAATGAGGCATGCACTTGTTGTTCGAAAGCCTTCCAGCAGGGAAGTCCCCATAGCCTGGTCTGAGGAAGGAATGCACAAACAGCACAGCAGCAGCAGCAGTCCAGCAGTGCTACCAAGATGCGCAACAAAGAGATGAGCGTCCCTTGGCTGGGGACCTGCAAGCTCAAAGTAGAAGGCATCAAATAGGCCACAAACTACCAAGAACAGTGACTGACACGGACCACGGCAATAGGTCGGAAGGGGGTGGTCGACAGCCCGATCTTCTGGGGCCAGGAGAGCCAGAGGATATTACTGCTGGGCGTTAGGAGGTCCATCTGTTTGGTATCTCAAACTTTGTCCTTGCATCGTGCTCAAAAAACAACAGCATGTCTGTGAAGGTGCATCTTGGTATTGAAGTAGTTGGGTTCGGCTTGGCTGCGACTTGGCTTTAGCAGCGAAGGAGGGAAGCGTGTGGTGGGCACGCAAAATCTGAAATCCCCCCTACCCCCCCCCCCCTCTGCGGTTTTCCATCGAACCTGACTCAAAGCTTCACACGCAATAGCTCAAACGCATCACCCCCGTTCCCCATTTCAAAGCATAAAAGGGCGGTGATGGCCAGAGTCCACGAGTCAAACTTTGCAGTTTCTTCCCGGCCTTCTTAGCAAGGTTCCGCTTGATCTATGTAACTCTCTCCCCAGTTGTCTTTGTAGTCGGCCCCACCCTTTCAAACCCGGTCTGCACGCTTCTGCACAAAAGTTCGAACTCCTTTCAGCAGTACTTGGCTCTACCAGAAAGCCATCGCAGATAGGCCAGGCACGTAATCGAGCTGCACCGAGTCCAAAGCCTTACCATGGGAGAATTGCATTACGTGCATGATACCAGAAACGCGAAAAGCGCCTCAATGGCCTCTGCCAAAGCACCTTGGCAGGAGACTCTGGCGACCCACATCAAGCTCCATGCGGCCTCAAATGTCAGCACCTTGGTAGGCCTTGTTAATCAAGATCTCCCTGTCGCGGCCTTGGTAGCAGCAGGAGCAGGAAGAGGAGGAGTAGTGGTAGTAGTAGTAGTAGTAGTAGTAGTAGTAGTAGTAGTAGTAGTAGTAGTAGTAATAGTAGTAGTAGTAGTACTAGTACTAGTACTAGTACTAGTACTCGTTCTAGTACTAGTACCAGTAGTAGTAGTAGTAGTAGTAGTAGTAGTAGTAGTAGTAGTAGTAGTAGTAGTAGTAGTCGTAGTAGTAGTAGTAGTAGTAGTAGTAGTAGTACTAGTAGTAGTAGTAGTAGTAGTAGTAGTAGTAGTAGTAGTAGTAGTTGTTGTTGTTGTTGTAGTACTAGTAGTAGTAGTAGTAGTAGTAGTAGTAGTAGTAGTAGTAGTAGCAGCAGTAGTAGCAGCAGCAGCAGCAGCAGCAGTAGTAGTAGTAGTAGTAGTAGGAGTAGCAGTAGTAGCAGCAGCAGCATCAGTAGTAGTAGTAGTAGCAGTAGTAGCAGCAGCAGCAGCAGTAGTAGTAGTAGTAGCAGTGGGAGAAGTAGTAGTAGAAGTCGTAGTCGTCTCCACCCCCCACCCGACCCCCCAGCTCCACCCATCCCCACTTCAAACAGGAGGAAACCCCGAGAGGCAAAGAACGAAAAGCAAGCCACAAAAATGAAACAATAAACAATTTTCGAACAAAAAGAAATTAGCAAGAGCGCACGAGAAAATGCATGTTCTTTCTGGAAAGCGGACGTCTGGAAAAGCACATCCCACCAACCAGCAGGAAACAGAGTTAAAGAAACACAAAACCCCCAAAAAAACAATACATAAAAATGAAAAAAGGATAAAAAAACATCAATGATAGTAGTAGTAGTAGTAGTAGAAGTAGTAGTAGTCGTCGTCGTCGTCGTCGTCGTCGTCGTCGTCCTCGTCCTCGTCGTCGTCGTCGTCGTCGTCGTCGTCGTCGTCGTCGTGGTCGTCGTCGTTCTGCGGTGGTGGTGGTTTGGAGTTGAGGCTGGAGGTTGCAGGGTTCGGGTTCAGGATGTCGACACAGGTCTCAGGATCCATGGAGCCCACTGCGATTTCCCCAAATCTGACACACTCCGACGCTGAGGCTGCGCACGCATCTTAAAACCATTTTCTACAAAACGAGGAACCTTTAGATGAACCCTCATATGCTCAGGACAGGACTTTCTGCCATCTGCACGATTCGGTCGCGCTGCACGATGTCAAGCGATGTAATGTAGGATGACCTAGGTGCACAACATGACAGGCTTAGCTGCAAACCAGGGTCAAAGGAACGACCAATGGGGCAATCGACCATGGCACCACCTTTGCTAGAAATCCTACATTCGCCGCTGTCGCGAGCTTGCGGCTGGACCCGGCTGCGGGCTGCAAACAAACTTGGTCTTTTTGCTGGGCGCGAAACTGGACCAGGATTGAGATAGCCTCGCCGAGAAGCTGGCAGAAAAAGGCAAACCCACTTGGACCAACTGGAAAGCTCTAGCTGTGAGCCTCATCTAAGTCTGCCAGTCTGAGTCCGCCGGCCTCACTGCGACTCTCAAACTTGCAAAAAGCGCCCGAATTGCTGGCATATGCTGGCACTGGCCTTGCTCATCATGTCCTGAAAAGAACAGAACCACAACCATGATCTGGCTTCAAAGCTTTGAAACGAACGCACCGCATAAATCTTCCGAGATCCTCCACATCAATTCGTCCAATGTTCTCGCGATATAACCTGCTGACTAGCAGCATCGCCCCAACGTTCGATTGTCTGGCGGCAGCTGGCTAAGGGATTGGCTTCAAGTAGCTTGAAGTCTGTGTGAAAACCTCAGGGGTGAACGCACGACACGGAAATGAGCACTACGAGAGCATCTGAGGGTGCCACTGGATCGAGTAGTTGCAAGCCGCCTTGCCACTTCACGAACACATAGGCCGCCTGGCATACGTATCGCCACATGTGGATTGTCAGCCACAAGGACGGTCATCTGCTCAGGAGATCGGACGAGGCTCCCACGGCATGCAGGCCAATACTCGCAGCAAAACCGGGAGCTGCCTGACTCAGCCGCACGACGCTACTGCAAAATCATGATATCACAACACCTCCCTTATGCCTTCGCAACAGCATCAATCAGATTGTTGGACCTCAGCTGGAGTTCACTGATGCTTCAAATTTTCGTGCTGCGGGTCGTGCAGAAACAACCTACATGCTGCCAAGGTTGGTATCTCCAGAAAGGTTGAAGGAACACTATCGGGCTTCTCAAGTTCTCGAGAACAGAGTGAAAGTGTATAACTGGCACCAGCAATACACGGCGACACCGACTTCAGTGAAATAACACATCTATATCGGCATCGTTCGACGACCAGGTGCAAGAACAGCGAACCCAACTGCAGCCAGGGCGCCTCCAGTACCTGCACAATCCAGAAACGAAGACGGGGTTTTGTCAGTCCGTGAGTATGACGCCACGTCTCATTGCATCCAAACTGCTCTGCCAGATGCCGTGCATGGTGCAGAACCTGTCCAGTACAACGAATACTCAAGATCGCATCCTCATGCCATCAGCATCCCATGTCACACCAGAGTGCGCCCTGCACCTCCTTCGATGTTAACTTCGGAGCACCTGCACAATCACAGATCAGCTCTCGTGGAGCCGCCCGCAGTACATGGCGCGAGTCAGGCCGATCGTCTAGGCTTAGGCTCCAAAGTCTAAGGAGGCCGAAGCGCCAACCTTCGAGGGTGGCCTAGCAGGTTTCTATCAAACACGATTCGCACTGTAACTGTAAGGGGCGATGCCTCCGTTATCTGGTTAAACGTTCGTGGAAGCACGTCCACTGTGTACCAAGATGGTGTGCACACACACAAGCTCGGCCGTGTCTTGAAGAGATGTCTATGAAACCTCATGAACTCAATAGTTGACAATAATACAAGAGAGAGCCTGCCGAAACCGCGAAGCAACACGTGCGGAATTTCAAAGAAAGCAGATGGCGGCGGCTCGCCCGCTAGGAGCAACTTTTGGAAAGCAATGCAGCCCCAAGCTCCAGCTCGCCATACGCGAACTTGACCCAAAGGCAGGAGTCTAGGACACGCTTTACCAACCATGCCAAGCTCCACCATGCCTGCAAGAACCTGCTGCCACATTCGTCGGCAGAAGCGGAGCGTCTGCCATGTTCGCAATGTTCCGGCAAGGCATGGAGAAAAAAACACTTTGACTGTCGTGCAAATCCGTGAATCACGGAGGCTGACCGAGCCACCATCGCACATGCCGCGGCTCTTCGCCTGAAAAAGTTGCCCCAGAACATCGCCGCGACTCAAGTGTGCTTAAGGCTCGGGCTGCAAGGAGGGCAGTGAGGTTCTTCATAGACCTGCTTTTGATCACAATCAAGTCGCAGATGCTTGCGCCGCCCCAGTAGAAGTGTCAATCCGAGCTTGGAAGCCGACAGCAACACAACAAGAAACAACCAGCACCAACCCACCAACAAGTAGGACGAAGCGATGGTTGCCAGCCAGGCGGAGGTTCCCTTCTGCGCGGCGCCCACTCGTCTTCGCAATGACGCGTCTTCGCCACGGCACCGGCTGTTGTGTTTGTACATCGGGATGCCTTCGTCATATGCGTGTGCTTCCATACAATCGCTACCAGTAGGTATTCCCCAACATGGGGAACGATAATCCTTGTCATCGGAACTCCCAGAAAGTAAGCTTTTTCCAGCGCCGGAGCCGGCAGCAGACAAGGATGTGTGACCATCGGGTAGCTAGTATACATTCACAGCAAAGCATGTCATCCGTATTGAGTCCCCTGTCCTCCGATGTTTTTTTTGCAAATGACATTATGACGAGGCGGATAACTTTTTGAGATCAAAGCTTTCGATTGGTGCTGCGGCACAGTAGGCGATGGGCGGGACAAGTGCTTAAGTTCACATGCTTTCGGCGCTAGGGGGCCGGCTCTGCACTCATTGCATCAGAGCCTGTGTCGACGCAGCATTGCTCGTAACCTCACTGCTCGGGGCTAGCACTGTGCTCGCGCTTCAACAAGATGCTGCACCCAAGGGCTCGGCCGAAGCGAAAGTCCCAGCAGCCGATCAGACTGCCAGCCTGCTGAAGATGTGTCAAGCTGCTGTCAAGCTGCTGTCAAGCTGCTGTCAAGTCAAGTCCAGTGTTTGACGTTCTGATGGCCAGCTGAGCGCTTGCACAGCCAAGCCACATCTCGTGTGCTGCAACACTTCTCGAAATTGAAGTCTGCTGTCCAACAGTCAGAAGGCCTCCAGAGGGGGACAAAAGTCAGCAGAGTTCATAGCAAATCAACAGGAAGCAATTCCATGAGCCCAGGCCGCACAGACCGTCAACTGTCAACATCCGCCGGCCCGGGTGGTTTGTCGTCTGAACTGACCATTGAGGCCACGTGAATTCAAGAACCATATCGACCGTGGGAACGCGTTCCAACAACTCAGATAACTTCTTGTCTGGGCCCGCATAGGAACCCGCAAGGACCCTTTCATGACTTGTTAAGGATTTCGTGGGGATCCAGTTGCAGAATCTCTATTGGGGCCCTTTTTGCTTGCAATTGGCTTTGCATTGTACATGACTTGTGTGCAAGGCTCGTGCCTCCACGTCCCCCCCTCCCCTGCCGCGGTCGGCGGCCTGTGCCGGAGGCCTTTCAAGGACTCGAAAGCTGAGGGCTTGACTTGAGTTGCGTTCTGGACATCTCAGACAAATGACCTCGTCCACTCATCCCTGGTTACCCGATCAAAAAAACACAACATGCGCGACGGCATCGTCCAGGAGTGGTGCCACAGCAGTGCTTCCTAGAGAAGTCGCCATCCCAACCTGATCTCTTCAGAGCATCACCGCCACCATCCGCCACCGTATGTATACATGCATGTGTGCTCGTGAGACCAGATGCCGGCTCTGGCTTGCGCGGAGGCAATCGCATGGCACATGTAAGACTCACGCAGCTGTAGCCGAGGTGTTTTCCTGCAGGGTTGCCTCAACGAATGCACTCGCAACAGGCAGCACTCTCGTAAGTGCTGGACCAAGGATCAATCTGCAGCAGGTCTCCATGTCGAAGGTGGCGCTGGTCAAACAGCCCCTCGTCAAGTCATCTCGCTACGCAGAAAAGGTGCAAGAATCCCATGGGCCAAGCTATCGGCGTTCCCTGCTGGATGACAAACAGAGCAAGCTGTGCCTGGAGCAAATGCTGAATCCCTTGGCTCATGGCCTCTCACACTCAGTCATCAATATGCATCACTCACACTCGGGTGACTGCAAAGCTGCGGACTTCCTTCAAGATCCCAGAACGACCGGCTCTTGCAACATGTGGACCACTTACTTTCTTGAGCTGCATGATGCTGCATGCAAGAGCTCCTGGCCACCCCACCAGTTCAGGGAGCGGTTCTCTCTACCTCGCGTCCACAATCCGCTGAGCCCTGACAGTACTAAGCTAGTGGAAACATGTGGAAACCATTTCCAATTTCAAACCATGCACCACCCCCTAGCACCCAAACCAGAACAACCCATATACCTCAACCTCCAACCCACCGAAAGACCCCAACACAGGACCCAAATGATGAAAAAACATCTTATGGAGCTACGCATAACCCCATAGAAAACAACATACTCAACCGCATAGCATGCCCCACCCGATAGAAAAGCCCACAACACCCAACCCGAAACCCCGAACCGTGGAAAATGGAAATGGCCTTCTCTAATAATATCTATAATCGGAATAAGGTTTAGAAATAAGGTAAAACCATAGTGTAGCTATAATCCGTAACAACTTAAGGAAAAAACTACATTATGCTTATGAATGCATTATCCTATATAGTGAAGCATGTGAAGCCTTTGTTGGTATCTGCTGTCGTTGTTGTCTGTTCGACAACATGAAAAACAGGAACTTCACTAAATATTCTGTCCTTATGCCAGCCGAAGAGCATAAAGTAATCTTCTAAAAACTCATCGTTCATTAGCAACTGATGGATGTGCTTAAACACTTATCAATATCTGGTTGAGGTTTCTTGGGTTCGGCTTGTGGCTCTGGCGTCTCCTCGTCATCAACAAGTTTGTTAGGGACTTGTTCGCTTAATCGTTTGCGTATTTCCCTTTTCTGCTTTTCGTATTCGGCCTTAATTTCTGATTGTAATCCGCTAGTTGCCATGAAAAATGTAACGGTTGTGCTAATAAACGCATTAAAATTCAGAAGAAGAAGAAGAATCATAATCATAATCATGCTGTCAAGTAGGAAATTGGTTTATAGTAAGCTTTACAGTACGTTAGTAGTGAGAAGAGACTTCCGCAACAGCAGTAGCGATTTTATCATAGAGACAAATGAGGTATTCTAATACGGTTGCGTGTGTATCAGAAGAAGCTATACCTCAGTCATATTCGCAACTATCTGCAAGGATTGCTACGTTGTAAAATCAAGCGGCAGACAATGCGCCAGCAACTTTGCCATCGGGTCTATGTACTACATTGCATGACAGCGACCAAAGAAAGATGCGTTTAACTAGAACTGACGGTGCCTTCGTTTCAAAGTCTTAACAGACCCAGAGTTAGTAGGTTTGACACGGTATGAAAACGTTCTTGGTGGTGCTAGTTATGCAATTGATGACCCGATGAGCGTTAAAATCATTGGCAGCTATGAAGAGAAAGCACCGACTAGTTCGGTTGAACAAGTGGTTTACTTCACCTAAACCCCTTCAACTCAGTGTGTATATATATACATATTTGTATATATATATATATGTATAGATACATTTATAGATATATGTAGTGAATTAAGCTAGTACCACTATTCAGCACCAGATGGGTATTCAAATTCAATAATACGCTGTATAATGCAGGTGGCATAACGGTGAGTTCATCTCCTCCTCGACTTCATTGATATACGCAACAGCAGTTTGAAGCGTTTACGATTTAGAATTACCGATGCAAGGGGAAGAACAAGTGATTTTCATAAAGCACCAATCAGTTTTATTCTCCTTTTTGAAAATGTATGAATTAGATAAGGTGACGATAAAAGCAATCTTTAAGTGTCTATGCTATTTCCTGTTCATGAAAAATAGCAACACTATAGAATATTCTAGACATATAACTATATGACAACAGAGACCGAAATTAAAAATGACGACGTCGCCAACATGGTAAATGAAGAAGCACCTGAACCTCCGAAAAAAAGAGAAAAAATCGGGAACTCCTGGAAACAATACAGACCCGTGTTCTGTCTTCAACAGTTCCCGAAAATTGTTTTTCTTTGCTGTTCTTCGTTTTTTTGTTTTGGACTTTTTGGCTTTTGGGTTTTGATTTTTTTGGCTTTGGGGTTTTGCTTTTTTGGTTTTGTGCTTGTTGGCTTTGTGTTGTTCTCACACTTGCGTGCATTTATCGACTTTGCTTGTGTGAAATGCATTTTGCCTCTGTCGCAGTGTTCTTGGCTGCATTATCTATCGAACTTGAGGATTTTTTGCCATGGCAAGATATCGAAGGGAGGAAGGAGGTTGTGGTGGCAACCTCGTGTTCGATGAAGCATGCTACTTTTGGATTCTGTGACATTTCTGCAAAAAGTGCAATAGACTTCGTTGCTTTGCTTTAAACAATTGCTGTTTTTTCAAATTCTTTTCCTAGCAAATCTAGCTTTCCAGGCACAATTCATGTCCTTTCTTACAAATCTTACAATTCCAAGCTGTTAATGAGCAAGTTCATCTTTTCTGTGTATAAATGCAATGGCAAATGTAATCTCACAAGTAAAGAAGAACATCATTATCATGTGTGTCTTAATCATAGATCGTCAATTTTCTAGCCATACTTGACTTAGATCTAACCTGCATTTGCTATGTAGGGAGTGCGGTTAACATGTACAGCTCTACTGAAATCTTTCAATTCGGATGAGCGTAGAAGAGGATGTCTTGGGGTGTGGCATTGTGGCATCGTAATACAAAGTACTGGAGTTTAACAACTAACGAAGCTCAGATGAGGATTTCTTAGGGTGTGTTTCTCAGGTGTGGCCTTACACTTCAAAAGTCTAATTAATTGGATGTTAATTATGAATGAGGCTTAAAGAGGATGTCTTGGGGTGTGGCCTCTTAATTTAACATTTGGGCTTCTTGAATACATCTAGTGTCAATATAATTACGAAGAAAGCCCAGATGAGGATTTCTGAGGCTGCAACCTCTGCATATAAGTTCTTGTGAGATCTGTTGCGAACAAGCCCTAGAATCGTGCGGCTTTTAATACAAGCATCTACGTAGGCAAATCTGAATTAAGTCTAATCACTAACGAAGCCCAGATGAGGATTTCTTAGGGTGTGGCTTATAATACAAATTCCAATTAAGCTTCATTGCGAATAGAAATCGTGAAACTTTTCGGGTTGAGCGAGACTGACACAGCATATGGCATATGGGAATACATAAGTGCGTCCAAAAAAACTCTCAGCTACTACTTTGCGCACTTGAATGTCACATACATATCAAAGTACAGGATTCTAATAAACAAACAGAACAGTGCGAACGCTTCTTTTTGTTAAACTAAGCCGATCTATATCCGCTGTGTTGATATTTTGCAAGCAGTAGAACAGCAAAAACGCAGCGGATAGATTCCGGCTTTAAACCGCTATTTTCTACGGGGGTATGCATGGTTCCATTGTGTGGATTTCATAATTTTGGGTATTTGGGTTGGGGTCTTTCGGTGGCCGGAGGTTGAGGTATTGGTTGTTATTGTCTGGGTGCTAGGGGTAGTGCATGGCCAGAAAATGGAAAGGGTCTCACTAACCTGTTACATCCAAGCTGATGCACTTATTGGACTCTAGACGCTAGAGAACACTGGACCCTTGCCCAGCAGGCCCGAGGCAGCGACGGCAGCATAGCTCATGCGTGAAGCTCGCATCCTCTTCTGAGATGCGCTGTGAGCTCAAGGGCATCTCTGTTCTTCTTTCTTCTCATGTTCGTGGTATGCATCTGCTTCAGGCTTGCCCATTAGGTGCAGCCGACCCTGCCTCGAAGCAGGATGCATCCATTCTGACGCAGCACCTCTGATACCTGGATGTCGCTGGCTCGGGCAACTGCGAGATCTAGAGCAATGGTTTCTGCTGAACAAATCTTGCAGCTGAGTTCCAGGCAGGGAGGACCTTGATTGAGAGCCGAAAAGAAGGCAAAGGCTGGCTCGCCAGGTGACTTTATGAGCATTGGCCGTTGTCTTCCCAAAAACTTCGAGAACTGAGCAGTTCTATCGCCATGCTGTCAGGACACGCCCAGCACTTGGAACCCGCTTCATCTCGTCCGCGCTGAGCCACCTGGACCTGTTTCACAAGGGCTGCTGACATCTTTTGAGGATCCGCGCAGCAGCAGCTGGCCTGATGGAGCGAACTCTGCTGTGCGACCTGCCCGGAAGAAGCAAGGACAAAAGCAAGCATCTGCCAACGCACGGAGGACGACAACACAAAGACCATTGACACGTCGTGCAACCCTTGCTTACCACCGAGGCCAAGCAACCACCACAGGCGAAGCCATGCAGCTGCTTGGACGGCTGTGTCTGCGGATGACATCATGGGCGCCATGGTCCCAGGTCACTGTCAACCAGCTTGTGTCACTATTCGTATCACCTAAAGGCCGAAGATCAAAACGCCATACATCAGATCCTGCTCTCAACTCCTGACGTTGGGGCGGAAAAGCTGTTGGAGTGGCGGCAGAGAAGGCCAAAACGATCAAAACGTCGCCAGGGAAGTTGTGCTCGGCATGGTATGGCCGTAAGGGTATGTGCATGATCTCATGTGAGCAGCTCGGTCGTGCGATCTGAAACGATGTGCCATTTTACCTCCTCATCCCGCTGTCAATCTTACCCCCCAGGTGCTAACTACAGTCCGCAGAGTCCGCAGAGGTGGCGCCATGCACCCTTTGCTCAAAGCCTGGCGCACGGCCAATCTTGCCAAAGCCAGCCTGCCCAAGTCTCCGAAAAATCCTTTATGCATTGCTCAGGTCTCAGGAAAATTAAAGTGCACTCACGCTTCAAAAGGGGCGCACTATGAACTCTGTTTTTAGTCGAAGTGCCAGCTTCTTGCCACGCAGTAGTCGCTCCTCCCCGCTTAACTAGGACATGTTGGGGCAGCCAGCAAATGCAAACCCTTCGTGCCTGTGCGATCGGCTCCCCGAAAGTACTACTCGTCGCAATCCACGCTGCAACACAACCGCGGCATCCACCTCGAGCGGACCGGTTGCATCTCGCGGCCGTCTACAGCTACAGCGGCTACAACGACTGACAGACCTGTCAGTCTTTCTAGGCACCTCCCACGCTGGTGGAGGATGCTGGACAGCCTGAACAGCATCGCCCAGCTTTAGCAAGTCTTTGCCACGCAGTTGAAAGTTCGAAGGCATCACAGAATCTGCAATCATGTCTGACCCCAGGAAAAGCGAAACGATTGACCGTTGTGAACTGGAGACAATGAAAGCTCAGCCTCGGAATCCTGCGCGTCATCCAGGCGAAAGGCCTCCATGAAGGCATCCAGGGATGGAAGTGCCCCATCTCTCTCAGCACCTGAGCAGCAATACAGCAACACCACCGAAAACCACCGAGAAACCCCGAACTCATGTAATCTCAGCTGCTCTCAGCCGCAAGATCGTCCAGCATCTTGGAGTCAGACTGCAGTTTTGATGCTTCGTGCAGCCCGCGCAGATAAGACATTTCCTCTGTACGCATGCTTCCAGGCATTGGCCTGCAAGCCCTTGTCATCGTCCAGCATGACTTGGATGTGGGGGAGGACTTGGGCAACCAGTCGATTAGCCAGAGCTTGTGCCTGGGCAGCAAGCAATCAACCGACCTTGCCCGTGTTTCCAAGCAGCGCCAGCCAACTTAAGGAAAGAGCGCCTTTCTCAGACAGCATACTTCCATCCCAGTGTCCGGCCGCAACGGACCTGCGCAAAGACATCAATTGACTACAGGGAACCAGAACACTGAATCCTGCACCGAGGCAATTGTGGCAGACTGCTAAAGCTGGCAAAATCTGGGAAACCTGGGGTGCTGCGAAAGTTGAATGGAGGAGCCTGGGCCCACAAGGCAATAGAGCCGCTGGATTGATCCACTTGGCCACGCCCGTGGCGGCCCAGCGAGCCAGACCAGTATTAGTGGCATGCCGCCTGCACCATGGCGTTGGTAGCAAGGCATCCCCATTCCAAGGGCTCCCGCATTCTAGACACATGATCAGGAACTCTCCCTGATTGTTCACCAACCCACTCACCCAAGTCAATTTGATATAGGCACCACTCTTAGTGCCCTCGTTCCATGTTGTCCGTGCAGATGTAAAGTACAAAGGTCCTCGCTTCTAGTGGATGCCTTGCGGGCAAGGTGGCTCCAACGAAGGATGCACGCTGAGCCGACTTGTTGATGTCAGGCAGCGCCATGACAAACACAACTTGCGCCAAAGCCTGACCACAACAACCGGTCTCTGTGTGTGTCTGTCTCTCTCTCTCTCTCTTTCTCTCTCTGTTTCTCTCTCTAACATCGCCTGTCTTTGTTCCATGCCGACAAGCCGACAAGGTGTCATGCTCTCACTACGCCATGCCAAGAGGTACGGTGCTCCTGCGCTTCTTGCACAAGGCCACGCAGGCTGGCGAGGACTTCCTCGGGCTTGGCATCCTTCAGCCCCAAGTCGCAGCCTTGAGCACAAGACGCAACAAGATTCCACAAAAACTTCTGAAGAAAAAACAACTTTGAAAGTGTAGGAGTTAATTGACAAGTCGTCCCGGGCGCTTCCGGCTACGAGGAGGAGGACATCCGAGAGTAGATGTCGGAGCCCAGGCCCACGGCGGCCACGCAGGTCGCGAAGTTCCGGCGCATCAATCTGGGCCAGAAGCTCTGCCTTAGACTCTTAGACAATCTCGGAGAGAGCCACAGCAAAACTCTGAAGGCTCTCTCCCCGCTGAAGATCCCCGAAGCACCCGCAGCGGCGTGAGTCTGTCGAGTGGCAGCAGTCAGGCCGTGGAACAAGCACGCAGATACCTTCAAGTGCCGAGCCGTGCTCCAGCGTGCTTCCAACTTGCACTGAGGCGCACACAATGCACTCTGCGCAGCAAAGGTCCCGCCTCAACCGCATGCCCGGCAGCTGCCATGGCATCGGACAAACCAATCGCCAAGGCAGATGTAGCGTGTGCGGCTACAAGCCCCTCGCCTCATGTGTCTTCAAGACATACGGTGCCGGCAATGATGGAATCAATGATTGACTCGCAAGTGCCCCGTTTCCGTCCAAGTGCCATAGACCACCATTCGCAAAGGAGGCTGGCTTCCAGGGTTGCTTGTGCTGGCTTCAGCCAATGCCGACGAATGGGCATCGGCAGCTCGGACCAGACCTCACGCCAGTCTGCCGTTCAACACACACCCGGAACGGTGAATGACGAATCCATGGGCCCTTCCGGTGTTTTCATAGGCTAGGCTACAGACCATCCACGTTTGTAGCCCCTCGCACGATTTCGTACTCGTGACGAAAGCCAGTGTTGATCTCGCGTTGCGCGAATGGTCAGTCGCGCACAGCGGCAACATGGACGCAATCATCGTGCGGGCATGGACACAGGCCATTCGCACGCACTGGTACGTTGTGAAATAAATACCGATGTTCTCGAGCGGTCTCAACATAACTGAAAACTTGGAAGTCGCAGGTTCGGAAACACTGCAATTACCGAGGTTTTCGGCCTCTGACCCGTGCAGAACATTGTTAAGTACCGATCCAATCGGGAATCTTCAAACACGTGTTTACAAGAGACTTAGGTGTTCGGACAAGGCCTACTCTTGCAGGCCATCTGCCCGGTGCTGGGACACCTGGGGCACACGTTGACCTCCAGCGTTTTCCCCTTTGTCGGGATCGATTTAGACGGACTGACTCACTGGAACCATCTGGAAACCATCGAAAACCACAGTCACATGACAAGCCATTGAGCCGTGCAGCGTGGCACCTCGCGCAAAGCGGCAGCCATGGCAAAGCATTCGACGGCGCGCTGACCAACGATACCAGTATGTAGCGTGTTTGCCCCCACACAGCACGGCAAACTCCACTGTCCAAAGATGTCCAAAAGGTGACGTTAGAACATGGGCGTGTGCATGTATGCTGTATGTGTGTATGGGGTGCATGTTGTGGCTGCTGTGCGATTTTCGAATCGAGTCCTGGGCGTCCGACTTCCGGACATGTTCCGTCCTGGAGCAAGCTGCTGATGTAGCCTCAACAATCTGATCCCTCGCCAAGCCTGCAATCACAATATTTCGGGCATGAACGGCATGAACACACAAGCGTGTCTTCTCGTCTTTTTCCTAATCGCGCCACGCGCATGCCATCTCGCAAAGTAGGGCTTCAACCTGTCATGACGTGTGCGTCGCTTAAGCTTGCAGGCAATGTGCATGAAAGTGCTGTGCTTCAGGCCAGGATCCAACAGCAGAAGCTTAATTTTGAAACTTGTCCACAAGTTTTCTGTTGCCATTTTTTTCTACATCGCCTCTCGTTGAAATGGCACAGGCCTGTCGCCGGTTCAGCCGTCTGTCCCATGCCAAACTCCCGGCTCAGCTCTTTCTGAAGCGCCGGCCGCAGCTCCACAGTGGCTTCACAGACCCAGCTGTAGCACGCAGACTCTAGGTGACGTAGACGTAGACTAGACTGCACGTAGAGGTCGCATGTGGCACAACCAAGAGGTAGAACGATCACGATGGCAGCTGGAAGCAGCGGGATCCATTAACCTGGTGCGGCACACATTGTGCAGTCTCACAGCCGGCAGAAGAGAAGCACGGTAGCATGACGAATTTTGACGAAATGTGCCGAACCTTCCAACCGAGCAATCGTCGCTTGCAGAACCGAAATTTCGGGATTGGTTGGCTCCAAGGCAGCGGCCTTGGAAAAAAGCAACTGAGACATACTGAGACAGTCAGCTGAAAGACTCTGCAAAGCCGAAGATATTGGCAACAGCTACACACACGAAGAGAGCGAGAGCGAGAGCGAGAGCTAGAGCCACAGCCAGAGCCAGAGCCAGAGCGAGGGCGAGGTTGAGGGCGAGCGCGAGGGCGAGGGCGAGGGCCAGAGGCAGCCAAGCAGCGCGTGTGGCGCTTTCCCAAGCACCCGCCAGATCAGAGAGCTCTTTTTGACAGAGCGCTAAACGGTAGAGGCCTTTGGTGTAGGTAGGGTCCACTTCCACAGCACGCTCTGCATCGGCTCTTGCGTCCCCATGCCTGCGCGCAAAGTTACACCAGACTTAAGACGGTATAGGCCTCAGAAACTCTTGCGACTATACTTTACAGACAGACAGCACCTGCCAAGACGCATGTAGCAGTGGCACCGGTTGCCCAGGATCAGTGCATGTTCTCGACAACCTCGCAATTGAGAGTCTTGCCATCGTAGGAGTATTATGCCATGCATCCTTTGGTACATGTGATGACTGTTGGCGAGGCCGGGCCTGTGTGCATCCCCACCAGCCCCAAAGCCTGGGTGTAGAACTCGATCGCCTCCCTGTGTTGTCAGTCAGTCTTGTAACCCGCGGATAACAGCAAAGATCCAAGCAAAAAGCACAAAGGAGCCTCCAGTGTCCGGCTTTCACTGCCATGTTGCCCTGCTGCCGTACCCTCTCGGCTTCGGCCATGGCTCTGCTGCGCACTGTGCCCGCTGACAAGTGGCAGGAACCTTTCGTTTCTTAAAGTTCTCCTGCGTTAACGCAACTTCCACCCACTGCCTACTCTGCATCTGATGCATCCACTGCAAACTCCGCATGTCGCTCTCTTCGCTACTGGACACTCTGATGGTATAGCAGCTCGGCAATCAAGCTACAAATTCCAAATCACATTCTACGGCCGGTCGCAATGAAAATCCTGGCACACAACGCTGCGAGCCTCATCTTTCGCATCTCATGGGAACAGCGACGACAGTAGCAATGAAATCCGTATCGCCTTATTTGAGCTGCGAATCCTACGAACCGTGGCAGCGCAACAGCCATATACAGCCCATGACATGCTCGAGGTTGGCCCCAGCAAGTGCCAGGTGCCAAGCAGCCAGAGAGCACGACGACGTCTGCGCACAGGTAGGCCATCTTCATCCACATAGCTGATGGTCAGCTCCTTGCGCTGCAATCACACTTGCGGAGCAGCTCGGCTTCTGCAAATCATCATCTACAGCTTGTCGCAACACCTGCATTTTGTGCGCCAAAAAATGCCAATCCCTACAATGCCTTCTGGCATGGTGGATTGTGAAAAATCTTAACAGCGGGCAGGCGACCAAAGCAGTCCTCTCCCGCGCTGATGTGCCGACGTGCCACAACAACAGCTGTGCTGTTGTGGCCTCGGAACGAATACTTCGTTTCGACCACGGCATGGAAACAGGAAGATCATCAATCCCTTCGCATTAAGGTGTCTGCTATAGTCGATTTCGCAGCTTGGCCTCCAACGACCATTACATGTCAGGCTCCGTTTGTGACTTGCCAAATCTTGCAAAAGACACTGCCAACGCGCCTGCAGGAATGATTCATGAGGGCAACTCGTCGGGCCAGGCCAATTCCCAGCACCACAGGGAGCTCCTGCGAGAAGGCCCGACAGCTCGACAATCAAAAACTCTTGCTGCAATCCCCTCCTCCTGGGAATCATCTGAGCAAACCGGCATCGATGGATCCTGTCGCTAACATTCTCCACTTCCCACGATTCAGTGTGAGTGCTTGCTCGGTCAGCCGACTTTTGCTTCAGGATCCAGCCCGGGCTTTGCCAGAAACTCCTCCCTTGGTGTGAGATCATTAGCCGCTAATAGGGGGGCACCATGGGCCACCCTCTGCAACCTGTTTGTCAGATTCCAGCTGGTTGCAGCTTGCAAGCAAATTGCAGGCTTAAAATGTCCAGAAAGCCGCAGTGCAGGACATCAGTCAGATTCTGACCTGGGTGATCCCCAAATCTCGCAAACATGACGTTTCGATGCTGAACCGTTGCTTCACCCCCCTCCCCCTCTCCAAGCCACAAACTGATACATCATGCCTTCGACCTCGCTGTCCTGACACATAAAAGCAAAAACCAAAATGGCACAGAGCACGTTACCGACATGACTTATGGCATGCGGCAGCGGTCCCCAACATCATCATGAATGCCGAAGATTGCTCCAATGAGACACGGTAGCAAGCTCACCTTGAAACATGATTGCTGCTTGGCAGAAGGGCCCCATGATCAAGAACGAAATTCTTCCTTAAGATCTGGCGAGGTGCAACAACGCCACCCAACAGCGTCGCGCCAGAAACCCACACTGGCCAAAGATATTCACCTGACATCAGTGCGCACACGAGCACAACACGGGGTCCACCAACAGCATCCGAAAGTGCATGTGCCGAATGAGTGCGAGTAAGTCACAATGAGGGTTCTCGATGGGACAAGCTTGCTGCTCAGCTGTAGCATAGACGCCCCAGCAGACAATGTTTACCAACGCAATGTTCCTCGCAGCCGTTTGGCAATCCCAACTGCACAGTTCCAAGGCAACCACCCAGTCAAGCGGCAGGAGTATGACCCAAATCCAGCGAGGACCTGGAGCGCTTCACCAACATACAAAACATCGCCCTACAGCACGAGCAAGTGCCTCAGCAGGTGTATCAGCCAAACTCTGCTGTAGATCCATGATTTCTGCAAGCAAGTCTCACATATGGCTCGGCTGGCAAATTGCATAGGGGAGCATGCTCAAAAGATGCCTCGACTAGCAACTCCACATAAGACATAGCACAACTTGAATGCGAAGTCAAACCTTCTGCTGAAACAAACAACACTGCATCGTCCAAACGGTCCAGGGGGCGCAACGATGAGAACCACCGAGCCAAGGGTGACCCTCAGCAGCTGCCCAGCTGCACGTGAGGAGCTTCCATGTCAGAATGTTTGTTTTCTCGGGCCCTGGCCAGAGAGGCCACTGATATGTTCCACCCTTCTGGCTCGACCTGCGCACGTCGCAAGTTGGTATCTTGTACCAACAAATTCAGAAGAAGTCCCAACTTGTTAGTTCTCCACGGGCTCCGGGTCACGCCTGAGGATAAACCAAATTGCCCACACAACGACGTTGATCAGGATCAAGACGACAATATGCGCAGCAAAAGCAAACCTTCGAGTCCAGCTGGCCAGTTGAAGGCTTTTGATGCGTGCCTGCTAGTGTGTTTCAGCACCAAGGCACCGCAGGTAGCGGGCGCACTTGACTTTCTGCTCAGCCTGACTCCACGCAGCCTTCTGTTCAACCTCTCTCCTGGAATTTAATTTCGACGTGACGACACCCTCCCGCCTCGGCTCGTCTAAGGGCCTCATGGTCAACAAAGACTTGGCCGTCAGCACCATATTTCACAAAGCTCGCCATGGCCTGGCCGCAACCGAGCTATCAAAAAAGAAAATCGACTCGACAACGAACTGTTGTCACTTCTGGCTTGCAGGAGCATTTGCAAGTACTGGCCACATTCTGCAACGCTTGCTGATACTTGCAAAGGGTCAGCTGAGACCCACGCTGCTAGCACACCGGCATAACTGGCCGCATAACTTTAAGAAGCGTCTCGGGTTTGAGCATAAACGCAAAGTGAAGGCACTTTCTCTGATCTGAATCAGCCTGCGCTCGTGCAGAATCTTTCGCATGGTCGTGCAAGCTTTGTGGGGCAAGCGAGCCTCATGCTGGCAGCTCATGACCTGAAGGGGACAAGCCACAGCAGCTGTGCTCGACAAGAGAGAGAGAGAGAGAGAGAGAGAGAGAGAGAGAGAGAGAGAGAGAGAGAGAGCAAGACCTGCTCCCCAAAAAAGACCACTCTGCAAGGCAGTGCTCCCGGACTCAGGTTTTTGTGCGCCTCCGAAGAGCCGATTCTTTTGAGAGCGGCAGATCCGATGGAGCTTTCAGCAGTTGATCTGGGCAGGCATCTTCCTTTGGAAAATTAAGCCAGCCTCAAACTCTTTGGCCATACCCTTTCGGCACCTGGAAAACTCGTACAGTAGAATTTAGTCTTTGCTTGCCCGTGAGCGTCAAAGGCTTCTCTGTATCATGCCAGAACCGATTACACATCAAACATTTCACTCACGGCGACAGATTGTAAGTTAAAAGAAGCATCGTAAGGCTTGTCGTAAGGTCAGTCATGACAACCAAGGACCTCATGCAAACGCCTCTGCAGCAATTGAATTGTCTGTGCGGTCAGCTCTGTACTGCACATCTGACTTCTGCATCTTCTGCATCACGCGGTTTAAACGATGACACATTGAGTGTGTTGCGTCGGGATCACGTACTCGGTTCGTAGCTCAAGAAGCAGCAAGTGGCCGTGTGCCCCTGAACGTAGCAAAGGTGCACAGATTGGGAGTTGTTTTCCGGGTTGCTTTCAAGCAGTCGCATTCTCCTGCCAATTATCTACCTTAAAACAACCCCGACTAGCGGCGGAAGAAGGACCTACACAGCTGTGGTGCTTGCTTCTCCCTGCTTTTTCGAGGGCTTGTCCAACGATTTCCTCCATGATAACAAAGTGTGATACTGTTTGGCATTGAGTCCCCTTCAAACTTCTTCCAAACTTCGGTTGGCAGATTGAAGCGCTTCACTAAACAACCCGTCACCCTCACCCTCAAGCTTCGGACGAGCTGCCTGGATGGTTGTGCGCTTCTGGTCAACACCACCAAGTGCAATGCCCGGGTGCGCGACTTCACCACACACATTCACACTTACCACTGTGGGTGGCGGATCAAATGCCGCCGACACCTCTGCCACACCGACCTCCTCCTCGGCCTGGGCAAACCACGAACTGCAGGTAAAGATCATGGCACCAAAAGGCTTCCCTGCCGGCGTGGGGAGGGTCATCCGAGCGCCCATGTATCGCTGAAGCATGAGTTGCAACTCCTGCCTGCCCTGTCTTTCGTCGAAGACGTGCACCTGGCACCTCACCCAAGCAGGACCCACTCGGGGTGGGATCCTCTTTAGATTCTCACGCCGAATCACAACCGACCCACCAGGCAGAGGCTCCAGAGATCGAACCAGCCAATCACAGGAGGCTGCCTGACGCCGTAAAGAAGAATAAGATGGTGCCCGCTCAGATGAGCCCCACACATCATCGTACACCTTGGATTTGTCCGGATCCAAAGGTTGCGGCGCCTCTAAACCCAGAAGGTAGCCTCCCTTCTCGATCAGGAGCTGTTGGACTGGGCTGGCTTGTCTGCACACTGCCTCCAACATCTCCTTTGCAGGATGGGCTTCCCTGTCATTGTCAGACTGCATCATTTTGATGACCTGACCATCCGCCGACGTGACCCGCAGCTCTGGGCCAACCCTGCTACTGCCTGAGCACACCATGCTGTGGATAGATACATCCGGAGGCAACAGCAAGCCCGCAACGCCGGCTGGGATATCGTCTGCGCTGCTGATCCCACGTCGCATCTCATAGCCAGCAACAGCAACACGCCGCCGCGATGGCAGCAGGTCTGCGCAAACAGCTCCACATTTCACAGCGTTCGGCAGCGCCAAGTCCAAGGCGCTGAGCACCGAGCCAACTACATATTTGGATGCTAGTGGGTCTATGAAGAGCAGAATCCCTCTCGGACGCGCTTCGTCTCTCTCTACTCCCAAATACTCTCGCCAAGCTCTTGGCATTGGTGGCTCTTGCGCTCCTATGACGCGCGTACGACCTTGGATCTGACAAACCAATCCCGATATCTCCTGCAGCTCCTTTGGCCCCACAAAGAAAGGTTTTGCACCAGGAAGTTCTGAACTTGAGCTGACTGAACCACTTGAATATTCCTTTCGTAGGGGTTGCTGCACGGCTATCAACTGTATGACTGGTGCCTTTCTGCCTGCAGCACGTCGGTGATGATCAGTGCCAGGACCGCCGCAGCCATTCACGGCAGCCCCAACACAGGCCCCGCTGGTACCGAGGTTTCGATCCAGAGTCATTGTGATGTCTGTGACGGACACGTCATTGTGGCCACTGACATAGATTATGCCAAAGTCCCAACACTTTCGTGGGCGACTGCGTAGCTGATATGATGCTTCAGCTGTAAGCTCTGCGACTGCAGCTCGCCAGTCCTCGTGCGTCGACAAGACGGTGCAAAAGAGGGGCTCCTCGGTGACATCGTTGGCACCCTTGGTGAACTGGGAAGCCGAAGCACGAAGACGTGTTCGTTCACCTTTTTGACGACGCAACTTGCGACCTGTGGCGACAGCTGTGGCCACGTAAGCTGCGCCAGCACCGACCCAAACTTTTGGGCGTGCGCCTGCGTGGTCAGTGGAGACCTTTCGCTCCGTGGAAGAATGGACCACAGTGTAGCAGTTGCAACGAGTCAAGTACACTGGGAGCATGCTAAGACATGTTTAAGGCGCCTTGTGCCGAGGAGCTGCGGAGACGAACACTGTACCAGAAGTCATCTTTTTTGCTCCCTTCTCCCGTCTCTTTTATTTCTAGCCCTGCCACATCCAGCCACCGCAGATGGCAGACACAAATCGTGCGGACTTTGCGGTCTATTGACGTGGGCGGGGTATGTGATAAATCCTCCATGCATGCCAACATGCGACCACCAACCATAACACACCGAAACCACAGGGCTTGAAGCACTTCGTGGGGCCTCGGAAGTGGAATGTGCAACGGCTCTGCCAATCTTCGATCACGCTGGCTCGTAATGCACAGGATCGCTTTTCAACCCGCAGTAGGAACAACATGATTCAGACTTGCCTTTCTGAACGGGGTATGGCAAAGTATAGCACAGTACTGGATGGCGCCCGTTTACCTTTGCCCTCAGGGCTTGGCGTACGCCTCTCTGTGTCTGTGTGCATCGCGGCATGGGGCAGTCGTGTGGTGGGGCAGAGTGGGAGGGGCCATGAGGCTGATGCATCAAGGGAGCCCTGCCTGTGCCACTGCACGCCAGACTCCGGAATGCCGCAAAGCATCTGACAACGGCCGCAGCTCTTGCTGCTCCAACGCAGCCTCGGGATGCAGCAAGCATCAACTGAAAGAAACTCATCACAATGCAACGCTGGGGCCTGGAATGGATGTCCAAACTCTATGTTGGCATTCACCAAGTCAAACTCGCCCAGGAGGCGTGAGTATACCTCCTGAAAGGCATGTGCGATGCATTGGGGGCTTGCCTGTGCTTGCTTGACCAGATTTTGAACCCAGGTCCTCATTCAGCAAAAGCTCAATTCCAAGGTCAAGGCGGCCAGGGTTCAGTACCTGGCTGAGCACGCACACAAGTCAAACTACAAAAACTTTCGATGCACGCTACACCTGCTTCAGCAATGTCCAGGACTCAGAAACCACTCGACTGCGATGATGCTGCCTGAAACCACGATTGCTGCGATGACTGTGGAATAGGCTTAGTAGGGCAGCCTTCGGCAAGACACCAAGCGATCCCATCTGTCATTTTGGCAAACCAAAAGTTCGGCCTTAGTCTTCTCGCATGGAGAATTTTCGACAAGTCGGATGAAACCACTCGACTGTGCTCGCAGCGATGGCCTCCCTGACTGGCATGCCCCAGTACAAGACCTAGCGTGGAAACATGAACATGCGGCCGAACAGAAGCAACCAGTTGTGCCTGGCACACTGCCCAGGACAATGCCAACGCGGCCAAGAGGAGATTCTCTGAGTATCGCCGAGCCTGGGCCGGCATCACATCCATCAATGCCTAAATCGAGGAGTTTGGTGCACAACTTGGCTATAGCCTCGGAAAGCTCTCCCTTTCAAAATTCACATAATTCACGTTCTTGCTCGTATTACAAGGATGCCAAAACACAAACTTCTTTTTGCCAAGCACCAGCATGAGTTGAGGTTCACTTCCTCACCTTCTACTCTGTTCTGTGCGGACGCTGTCCACAGGACGCATCACAGACCGGAGTGCCTTGTGCATCTTCGTGAACTCTGTGAACTCTGTTCATGACCGTTGCTGGAGGCGCTGTAGGCGGCAGCTGTCCTACCGCGTCCCTCGAATGCCTGACTCACATCCCCAGAGAAGCAGTGTCCGCTGGATGGTGATGCTCACTTGCGCAAGTTGAAGACAATCCCGACCTCAGCTTTTGCGTGTAACAAAAAACAGGTGTAACACGGCATGCTCACTTACTCTTCCCTTACTGACATGCAAGGCAGGCACTGAGAAGCGATTGCCATGCACTTCTCTCACCTAGGTTGCTGTTATTCGCCAATTCAGTCCGAAGCAGCCGAGCACAACTTTTGCAAAACTTGGTCTGATGTGCTGGAGAACGTGCTAAATGTGCTAAATAATTGGCAGGGCGCTCCATGCTTGAAATCTGAACCCTGCACGGCGGCACTGTTGGCAGCAAACACCGTCACATCTCCCTCACTGGCCGCCACTTCGACAACCTCAAACCACAACACACGAATCATGGGCTGTTACAAGGGGGGGGAAGCCCCCCCCACAACCACAAGTACCTTTAGCAGGAGGTTCTGGTACAGCCAAGTTCTTTTCTTAGGGTTGTTGGCACATAGTTGTAGAACCCCCCCCCCCCCCCCCCCCCCCGCAATGCAAAAAGTACTTGTTGGGGGCCCCCCCCCCCCCCCCCGTGCTCATTCAAAGGCTTGTCGCAACCACACTCCTTTGAATCTCCTTGAAACCCCTAGAGCAGTGTAGTTGTCCGATGTTGTGCGTTTTGTGTGCTCTTCGCAGAACTTCACTGCTGTGCAGCGCTCAGTCAGTCCATCTTATCGCCCTAATCCAATCCCGCTGCATTTTGTGCGTCGTGGCGACAAGCCAGTCCAGGACCCACAAAACGTAGCTTTCCCAGTCTGCCGTCCAGCCCCTCCAACCAGGGTACACGCCCCTCCCAAGTACTTTTTAACGGACCCCTGATACACACGACGGATCCTCAGCTGGGCATTTGCAAAGGCTTCACTTAGGCACCTGTCCACTTTTCATGTTCTTCACGAAGAATTCGCCACCATTGAAATCCTGCCCTGCAGGTGACTTGACGCAGACAAAAAGTTCGACCCTCGACGCACGCAACAGGAGCAAAGTGCACAGACACGCGCCTCGTCTGCTTAACATCAACACTGCTTGGTACGGGAAGAACAACGAACCATAAGGATCCTGGCAGGGATCTGCCTCTCGGCCAGGCTACGACAGCTTGCCGCAGCTTGCCAAATCTAGGACCGTGAATCCAGAAACTATAAGGTCTGTCCTGATGCGCGAGATTGACTCCACCCTGGATTGAACAGCTCGAATATGCAAAATAGGCATAGGCATACTCTTGGCCATCTGCTGTGCCTCACCAAATGCCAAGAAGATAGTGGCACAACGTCGCCTCAGCACAGGTTGACAAAGGAGCAGAAGAGAAGGGCCAAGAAACAAAAGCTTAGCTTGCAGCTGCCCTGCGGCACGGCAGCGCTTTTCCAGATCGGCCAGCGTTCTGCCATATCTCTGCGCAAGAGAAGGCGAATGGGCCAGAATTGACTCCTGCAGCGCCATTGGATGTATTAGAGGCATATCCAGGGCACGCTTCCGTTCAGCAAAGCTGCGTACAGTGAGGTTCGGATTGCTTCTACAAGTAGTGGAGCACTGCCGTCGCAGAAATGGTAAGCACCACCTCGACCGGCCTTCGAGACATTCTGCACAGCGGCACGACAGCGAGCAGGCAGCTTAGCCTTGCCTCCCCATCGAGGCGCCGGACATCGGAGAAGTTGGCACCCGCTGCGAAGTGCAGCAGCTGAGAACATTCCTCTCAAATTTCAGGTCTCGTCAACTCAAGGCTCTATAGTAGGCCCTGGCCTGTGACTGCAAGACGTTCCGTATGCACACCGCCCCTTCAGTGGCACCGCACCAACATCATGCGTGACTCTGTTACATCCTTCCTTTCAGCACGCTTAGCCATGGAAGAGGCTGCCCCAGAAGGCGAAACTGTCTCGCTCTCTCTCTGTGGGTCGCTCTCTCCAAACTTCAACAACTGGGCCTTTGCGTGTGAGTTCTGCAAACTGCGCATTCGCCAGGGCGTGCTGAAGTCGTGGCCGGACCTATCACTGTCCAAAAGTGTCAACACTCACACTCGCGGCCCACGGGCAATCACGGGCACACGCGTGGATGGGCAGCTGTCGTTGTCCAAGTGTCCCTCTTGAGGGCTGCCGTCAACGTCCGGCAAGGCCTCATAGATCATGGACAGCGGCTATGGCCTTTTCTTCTGACTCATCAAGCATGAAGTGCCAGATATGCAACATTATGCAACCTAGCAGCTTCGCGCGCGACATAGTCTTGCAGCAAAAGGCAGGCGGCTGCGGCTTGTGCATGTCCGGGTGATGAAAGAGCTTCCCGCCCGAAAGCACCAGACGCTCCTGCAAAAGAGCTAGGTCGCTAGGTCATGCATGTAGGACGGAGCATCAACAACGGCTGTAGGAAGAAGCGGTTCTATGCTGCTTTATGGCGTCCTTCAATACAGCCTTGTTTCGAAGCGGCTCCACTTCTTCAGGCCGCCATTTGTCCACTCCTTTCTTTCAGCGCAACTCTGCGACATACTGCAATATGCCGCAATTTCCCTCCGGATGCTGCGCTCTGTGCTGGGCTGCGCGCGTGGGTCGTGGCGTGCCAAGGCAACGCGGCCCGAAGAGGCACGATACGTCCCGACAAGAGTGGCCTTGCACCTCTTTGCCCAGCGGCGCACTGCTTCGCCTGGCCTCACTTTACAGAAGCCAAATGACACACACACACACACACACACACACAGACACAGACACAGACACAGACACAGACACAGACACAGACACAGACACAGACACAGACACAGACACAGACACAGACACAGACACAGACACAGACACAGACACAGACACAGACACAGACACAGACACAGACACAGACACAGACACAGACACAGACACAGACACAGACACAGACACAGACACAGACACAGACACAGACACAGACACAGACACAGACACAGACACAGACACAGACACAGACACAGACACAGACACAGACACAGACACAGACACAGACACAGACACAGACACAGACACAGACACAGACACAGACACAGACACAGACACACACACACAGACACAGACACAGACACAGACACACACACACACACAGACACAGACACACACACACACACACCACACACACACACACACCACACACACACACACACACACACACACACACACACACACACACACACACACACACACACACACACACACACACACACACACACACACACCCACACCCGCGCGCGCGCGCGCACACACCGAGCCATTGCTGCCCGCCTTGGCCGTGCTCCCTCAGCCTGGAGCAGCGCCAGCTGTTCCTCTCCAATTAGAAGAGATGTGAAGAGCTGCAGATGGGCTCAACCCACAAGAGTGACGAACAGCCCGCCAAAGAACATCATCATATTCAACAGCTAGATACAAAGATATGCCAGCATCCTTGGCGTCCCACAAACCTCCGTCAGAACTCACCACCCGGTGCCAGCCACGAACTCGCTTGTTGACCACGGCGATCAGCTGGCTGCCCAATTGGGCGCGAATGCCTTCCACACCAGAAATCGTAGGAGCTTCAACTTGGCTTTTTCTACTGCCTGCACTGCCTGTGTCAATACCTTCATCTCCACGATCCAATTCTTGCAACACTTTGCGGAAGACCTTCACGTGCACCGTGTGCACTCTCACTCGCACTGCAACACCAATCTGAAATTCGGGCCTCCATCTTTGTTCGCGTCTCTCCCTTGGGTATGCCTCGTAAGACTGCCACGATGGCTTTGCTGGATGCGCCATCTTTCCTGTCGCTCCAGCTTGACAGGTATGTCAATTTAAGCGGTTTTTGGGACGATCTGGGCAGTTTCGAACCCAGGCTCAAGCCTGCCCACTTTGTGAGTTCCACTTCGCTTGTCTCTGTTGTTGTTTTCAAGTTATCTTGCCCAGCCACAGAATCTGTTTTGGTGTTTGTGCAGGAAAAAGCAACAGGCCTGCTGTGCAGGAAGGCCCCGGCGCGTTCGTAGGACGAACTCCGCCGAAGCTTCCCCCCACAAGAACACGGTCTGTCGCGCCTGAGACGTGCAGACTGCGAAGGTCTCTTCATGGCTCGGGGAACTCCAAGCCTGGACCCCAGTAGAGTCCCCGCTTGAATCCGCACTTGAGCCGCAAAAAGATGCACTGCAGATCACTGCAGATGACTACAGCCTGCTGAGGCTGGGTGCGACAACACCCACACCCACACCCACACCCACACCCACACCCACACCCACACCCACACCCACACCCACACCCACACCCACACCCACACCCACACCCACACCCACACACCCACCCAGCCACACCCACACCCACCCAGCCACAGAGATATCTAAAAATGTATGTATGTATGTACGTATGTATGTATGTGTGTGCATGTATGTATTTATAAACTTAGGTTTTTTCATGTAATGCTTAACAGCAAGACGACTACAAAAATTTGACGAAACGTTTAACAACTTTGCACCAGCGACACTGCACGGGTCGTCTTGCGTCTTTCGTGGCCCCTCAGCAGCCGGCACAGGACTTGAAACACGACCAGGACCTGAACAGCACGGGTGCCCCTGAAATGCTACGAGTACAACTACGAAAGCTGCCCGACGTGAAGACATCTTCTGCCTCAATCGCGCTGGGTCATGCAGCTCGCAGCACAGCAGACGATGAGCACCACGAGAAACTTCCCGTTCCTTATGAAGAGATCTGGTTAGGATGCATCATCCTTCCAAACTAGTCGTCTATAGAGGGCCACACACGGCAGCTTTCGCTGCAGAAAACTGCTTTGCATCCTGGCTCGCAAAATTGCACAGAACTGTTGCGTTGTACCTAGACTTTTAGAGTTGATTCATTCCGCCACACTTCATGAGGAGAAAGTGGCTGGACTTCTTGGTTGGACCCAAGAATAGGCAAGTGACAAGTGGATGACGTGGTCGATGTTTGCATGGCTATTTGTTTGTCTTGGGCGCCTCCCTTACCAGCGCTCCACCTGCATCGTCACCCCAGAGATGCCTTCCCAACTCCTCAATATCCTTCAACCTGCAACGCGCACACACTCTCCCGCAAGCCTGCCTTCCGTAACACAAGCCACAGGCGGTGGGCCACACAGAGACGGATGACCTCGAAAGGTACGCGAATTCGTTTTAGCTACAGGCAACATCTGCCAACTGCAGTGTGAAGCCTAGAAGTTTGTGAGACGTCACGCCAAGAGACCTTTCCATCCAACACAACGTGTCTGTCTGCACCGATCACTGGTCCAGTAGCTGGGATGGCGACTCCACTGTGATGCTGGCGTTATGCAGAATCCTCATACCATTGCGGCCAAATGCGAGGCGACCAGTACAGCACTGAATTTTTCCGAAACTGCTTCTGCGACATTATGGCTCGCTCGTTCTGCGATTGCCTCTTCATTCCAAGAGGAACCCCCTCCTCAAATCCTGCAACCTGCGGCCCAGCAGCTGCTGAAGCAGATCTTGGAAGCTGCCCACAGGCATCATGCACCTTTTGGAAAAGGAGACCACTGAGACCACTGAGATCCGGATATTGAATGGTATTGGCCCATGTTGCAGAACTGGGAGACGCGCGCTGCACAACAGCGCGTCATGCGTTGTGAGAAGATGTGCTGCAATGCCACCTGCAGCGGACGAAGTCTGGAATTGGAATCCACCACATCGACCAGAGTCAAGCCTCACCTTTCTGCATCCAGGCATCTGATCCCCTTCTTGCACTACCTTCTTGCACTACTGAAACCTGAACCCAAAACCCCGACACCTCACCACCGGAGAGGAGGGAATACCATGGGAGGGGGATCTGAAGTTCCAGCTCAGATCCGCACTAAGGGCGTGTCTCGAAAAACTACTTCTCGAGCTGCCTCAGGCACAGCGGTATGCAAACACGAAATGTTCTGGGTTCTGAAGTCCCCATCGCATGACATACGCGAACAACGCCGGACATTGCAGACGGCTGACGAATGGTCTGGCCGCAACAAGTCCTCGACCACACCGAGCACGTTGCTGGAGCTGGCAACAAGGAAATGACTTGTGACAAGACAAGCTTCACAAGTGTTCCGACAGACACATGTGTCTGGAAGCTTTAGGTGTGCCAAGGCATTCTCAACAAGCCTGCACCCCAGCGGAGTTGTCCAACAAAAGCTGCCTTGCAGAGTTGATTGGCAGAAAGCGTTGCCCGGCGCTTAGGCGCTTCCATGACGAGGATGTAGGAGCATGGCTGAAGGACATCCTGCTGTTCCTTCGACTCGTGATGCCATGGCTCCACACGACACACACCACCCAACATACAAGAGGATCGAATACGCCAAGCACAACGGTAACTGTGCACGGTCAGTGCTTTGCTGGTTCTTCGCCTCACTGGATACTCAAAATCATGTGAGCAAGCTCTGCCGTGGTTGACGATCATGTCAGATCTTCGCAGCAACTCTGAACACGAAGTGCGGTGCCAATTGTTGCTGTCGCCAGACGAAGACAAGAGACAAGATGCCCAACGATCAACGCGTATCAAAGCGGAATACGATTTTACCTCGACGTTTCACCAACTCTTGCAAGGCAACGCTGTGCTTACATTGGTCCCAGATAGTCCGTATGCTCGAAGATATTCGCACAAAGCTAATCAAAAACTAACCGTGTCAACAGCGCTGCGTTGGGCCAGAGTTGCCTTCCAGAAACGTGCTAAAACTTGGCTGCGTGAGGTGCAACCCATCGATAAGATCCATGCAAGAAATCCTGGACGTAATTGCAATTTCCAAGGAGAACACAGCATCACACAGCACTGGCTAGTAAGCTATCCAGCAAATTGTGAGCAAGATGCCTTTGGCATGTCTCGCTTCCGCACTGTGCTTCCAGATACATGCTCCACGATGTTGCTGTAAGCCGCGCATCTCGGAAGCAGCCCCGTGCACCTTGCTCAAGAGCCTGCAGGTTTCTGCGCGACCTCTTCGAGCAAGGCAGATTGTTTTGTCTGCTTGTCATCCGCATGTGCGTCTCTCTGAGACGTAATGCCCTGTACTGCCCCCCCCGGGAGGTGCCTTCAACACCACCTGAAGTGGGCACCACACCACTGCATAAAAGTTGTCTTTCTCAACGGGCTATTTTGCCGGGCAAATCGTTGGCCAGAGCTCAGGGTCGCGCCTGCCACTTTTCGGAATTCAAAAAAACCTCTCAGAAGCTGAGTGAGTTGCACCCGATTGTACTGCCCCCAGCTTGTCAGGATCTTGCCGCTATGAGTTTGGTAGGTACTGTAGGGCCTGGGCCTTCCATGTAGTTTGCATGCATGCATGCATAGCGCATGCATGATGCATGCGTAGAAGTCCTAACAAAATATTCCTCGTTCGCTTCCTGGCATGGGAGTGGCCTCCATGTGCATTGCTGACACTTCCAACTGTCAGCTCCCAACCAGAAGCTGTGTTTTGTTCACCCTACTCTATGTGGGGCTACCTTCATGCAGACCAGGGCAAAAACAGAGTCATTGCGGCGACTTGGCATTGGAACCACAGCAATCATCCGCAATACAAAATGGACACGCAGCACCCAGGCAACATCAACAGGCGGAAACGGCCAAACTGGCTTCAGAATGCTTCAGATGGGGGGACTATATGGGCCGTTTGGACCCCTAGCATTTTCCAGGCCCCCCAAAGTGACATCTGCACTGGAGAAGGCGAAAGCAAGTCAAGAAGTTACATGAAGTTACCATTACAATTGCCGATATCCAAGATCGAAACCAGCACATATCAGAGGGCATCAAGAAAAAGCTTAATGCGACACACATGCTGAGGCTTCGGAAGGCCTTACAGTCCACCTCTTCATGGGCAACCTCACCGACAAAAAAGCGACAACCAATGATGCACCAAAGAACTTGCGGCTGCCATTCGGCCATGCTTCGAAAGCATGACATGTTCTGAGGCACTTGCTTTTCTATCGGCGGCCGCTGCTTGTAAGCCTGCTGCGATGTTGCCTTGCAGGCCATGACTAATTAGACGAGTTGCACTTGTCCAGCTTTGACCTACTGACAGCCTGTTTGTCACACAGCCCGAGGCAGCTGGGCACCCAGCCAGAAACAAACGAGGAGTGCTCACAGGAAGATCATGCCCGCTGTCCTGCCACTTAGCATGCGACGTTGAACGCCTCCACAAAACTGCACAAGTCCTTTGAAGCTGCAGGTAATTCAGAAGCGTTGCAATAGCCCTTCCTTTACAGGAACTTAAGGACAACATCTGACTTTATCAAAACCTCCGCCCTCGCAGACAACAGCGACAGCCACGTTTCACACCATTGGCAGGGAAACAAATTCAAACACTGTAAGGCTCGAGCGTGTCTGACAGCCTCGGCAAAACGACCTGCAGTGAGGCAACTGCTGTCCCAAGAACCCTTGGGAATGAATGAAGCCCACAACAACCTGAAACACCCTTTAATGACCAAGCCAAGCTGCTTTTTGGCCCGACTTGTCCTGCATGAAACATCTGCTGCTGCTGACTGGCACAAGCGACACCCCCTCCTTTCCTCGCTCTTCCCTTACACTTCGACACTACGACACGCTTCGAATGATCTTGAAAGTGTTGCATTACGCTGCCTTCTGCCGCTTGTTGGCATCATCCTGGGCATTCTGCTCTTTTAGAAATCCCCAGCTCTCCTGCCAGGGTTGGGCTTTACGTGAATTGTGATCAAAGCCGTGGCGCTGACACCACATCAAGTGCTGGCTACGCTGACTTGCTGATGGATCCTCCCACTGTGCAGCCAAGCGCAACTCCGTATGGACAGCCTGTCTGTAAACCTGGCTCGATGCGCAAAGTCAGAACCAAGGCCATGTGAACGTGCACTTAGCTTTTGGGACTTGACTCGTGGATGCACATTCTGGCGCCCGCTAAGCACGGCACAATCATCTCAGCATTTCCTTCCAAAGGCATGGCAGCAAACCCAGTGCTCCAGCCTCAGCAGCATTCAAGTCCAAATGCCCGAGCCCCATGGAGAACGCATTGGGTCAAAAAGGCTGGGCACGCGGCAAGGGCGCAAGGGAATCTGTTGCCAACCAAGTTCGAGCCAACGCTTGCACCGTCACGGCAAAAACATCCGTTGTGCCCGAAATGCGTCACATCTAACATGCACCATCGACACAACTGGCGTAAATCACCGACATCCAGACTATATACTCTGTAGTTTCTGGTATCTTCTGCACAGGGCAGCAGGGCTCAGCAATTCATCTTTTGCACAAAGTGCATAATTCTCCCGCCTGACATTTGGCGCTGACTCCAAGCAAGCCTCACCATCTGTACACATTTACGAGAAGAACCCTAAGGACCAAGAACCACCTGCATGCAGTCAATGTGGGCCATCGATGCCATCCCACTCTGGCCAATTTTGCCAGTTCCTATCAAACCAACCACACCGGGGGCAGTGGTTTGCATTCCGCCGATTCACAGTGTCACGATTGTGTGTTGCCAGGTTGCTGCAATTCTCGTTCATGACAGGTCCTGACCTGCATCGGCGACACATTCGAGCAGTTCCATGTCCCACCATCTGGGCCACTGCTCTGCGGGCAAGCTCGTCCAGTTCTTGTGCTCGTCGACGACGCTCTTCCGCCTGGATTTCTGCCTGACGGCGTTGCTCCTCTTCTTGTAGACGGATCCGCTGACGCTCCAGCTCACGCTGCTGCTGGGCCTCCCGTGCCCGATTCATTGAAGCTCTTCGCAGTTCAAACTCTTCTTGCACAAGCAATGCTTCTCGCCGTCTTTCACGCAACAGAATTTGCTCGCGCCGTCGCATTCTGCTTGTGGGCCACGGAGCGAGTCCAAGTGGCAGCGGCCAATCAGAACGCTGGAAAAGCAGCTCAGGCTCAGGAAAAAGGCTGGTCGGCCAATTGCCACTGTGAAACAAGCTCTGATCCTCTGTTTCACTTGCAGGTGTCGCTAGCTGACCCGTCAAATGTGATTCAAACTCACGCAAGTCTGCTTCCACGCGTGACAACTCTTGTACGTGCTGAATCGCCTCCTCCTCGCTCAAGCGGGCCGCATTTACTTGGTATAAGCCTTGCAGCCTGTGGCTGAGCTGGCGCGCTTGTTCAGCATCGACAGATGAATTGTTTTGCTCAGTTCGTGGCGCCGCTGAGATCAATTCTGACTCGAAATGCTGTGTAAGCTCAGCTCGTACCAGCTGCCTGTGACGCACACATTGTCGACTGGTCCACTGCTCCAAACGCGCATCCAAAACTACTGCGTGCTGCAACTCAGAGGAGGTCAGCTCTCTCTGTTCCAGCCTGTCCAGCATGTCTTCTACACATTCACCACAAACCCGAGCGCCACTACCCGTCACAACTGTGTTGACCTCCAAGCCCAGTCGTTCAAAGTCAAAGGCTGCATGGGGGGCGCAGCCACTGCAAACCAATCGGCCGCAACGACGGCAATGATGACGGCGTCGTCCAAAACCGAAAAGTTCAGAACAGCCAGGCACCATACATTTTGTAAACATGAAATTTGGTGCCCACAGGCAATTATCTGATAAATCACAGGCCAAGCCTGTTCGCGCAAGCTGAATCCTGGCTTCCATACCCCATCGGGGCCTATCTGCATTCGACACAAACCGCACATGGTCAGCAGAACCTCGGTATAGCAGTTTATCTTGGTACGTACTTGGCACGTCGTGGCACGGACGACGCAAAGAAAACATCATAGAATCACAAGCAACATGCAAATCAATTCCATCAGGGCCACGTCGGTACCCGGGAGGGGCCGTCGCCTGCATGATCTGAATCTGCAACTGCGGACGCGCAAGCACCTGCCAACAGCAAACTGAACCCAAGTCCCGGCGGTTTTGCACACAGCTTGAAAACCCCACCGCAATACATTGCGATTCACTGGCTGCATCTGCCTCACAGTTGGTCTGGCGATGAGAAGTCTCTGCAGCTTCTCGCCTTCCCCGAACATGCGATGCTCTACAGTAATGGTCGTGCCCTGGGCCTTGCCTGCACCAAACAAAAGTGGCCTCTGTTCCCAGTCTTGTCGCACTTCGGGAGGAGTGCCCTCTGTCTCTACAGTGGTGCGGATCATGTCCAAAACAGCTCCTTAAGACAATCATCCCTATGCGCTTCGAACACACGCGCACACACACACACACACACACACACACACACACACACACACACACACACACACACACACACACACACACACACACACACACACACACACACACACACACACACACACACACACACACACACACACACACACACACACACACACACACACACACACACTGCGCGCGCGGAACGCACGCCCACGCCCCGCCCACGCCCACGCCCACGCACGCACACGCCACACGCCCACACGCCCACACGCCCACACGGCCCCACACCAGCCCACCCGCCACGCCCACACCACACGCCCACACGCCCACACGCCCACACGCCCACACGCCCACACGCCCACGCGCCCACGCGCCCACACGTGCCCACACGCGCCCACACGCGCCCACACGCGCCCACACGCGCCCACACGCGCACACGCGCCCACACGCCCACACGCGCCCACACGCCCACACGCGCACACACGCCCCACACAGCCGCACACACCCGCACACAGCCGCACACACCCGCACACAGCCGCACACACCCGCACACACCCGCACACACCCGCACACACCCGCACACACCCGCACACACCCGCACACACCCGCACACACCCGCACACACCCGAACACACCCGCACACACCCGCACACACCCGCACACACCCGCACACACCCGCACACACCCGCACACACGCGCACACACGCGCACACGCGCACACACGCACACACGCGCACACACGCACACACGCGCACACACGCACACACGCACACGCACACGCGCACACACACGCACACACGCGCATACACACAAAACAGACTTGCACCGTTAAAAACCCAAAAGAAAAATGCAACTCTACAACACCTGGATGATAAATATCATGGCTGGGGCAAGGTTCGGTTGCTTACGAGGACGCCATCCACCTCTTCTCCTGTCATAGGACTCGTGCGCCGACGTGCCTGCGATCGGACTCCGCAACTCGTTTCGTCCAGCTGGGGCTGGTCTCCTTCAGCATGTACCCAATTTTCGCATGTTTAAAGTGAACAACTGTGAACAGCTATGAACAGCTCCTACCGACTCTACTGGACTCTACTCTACTGTAATCGGCAACATGCACGCTGACGTCCTTGTAATTGATTTCGCCAATGTTGCTCAATGCTTGACCGTTCGTATGTGTAGCCATCACCCGCCAGCACCGGGTCCGCCATATAGTCCCTTGTGATCGGGCACAAAAGCGAAGACTCTAAAGAGACCTGTCGCCGCGCCGCGGCGTTGGCGCAACCTGCGTGCTGCGGGGGTTCGGTCCGCCAGGATCAACAACTCGTGTGGTCAAGGTTCTGGCGTGACGCGGAATGCCAGGCAGCCGGCCTGCTGGCCACATAAATGGATGAGCTTCCAAGAGGTCCCCCTGCGTCCCAGAACCCGCAAATAAATCCTGCACGGAAACACGAAGCATGACCCAATTGCTAGCGGCAAGCACAAAGGAACAACAGACTCTCAACTCACATTGTGTTTCTTGCTCCTCCATGTGAGCAGCCAACTGATTCAAATTCTCAAAGCGTGCCACATAACTTCCATCCATTTGGAAACTGCATGGGAGAGCATCAAACAAGTAGCCAACGCAGGGTCGACCCCCAGTGAGAACCACCAGGATGGATTCCTGCACAAGCAATGCTTCTTTTGACCAAAGCACCAACTCAAAGTCACTCGATGGACAGTGGCGCACACACAACATCATCTTGTTCTGCCAGTGCACTTGGGATCTGGTGATGATCGCAGCAACGTTTTCCGCGGGCAGCGAAATTAAGTCGAGGAGCATCTGACGAACCTTTGATTGCACATCAAATTATGAAATGGGTGACCAACTTGCCACGGCTCTCAACGAAAAAAAGCTGCCACAAAAACCTTGCAAAAACGCAGACAAATCACGCTGGGCGCAGTGCCCCGGATCGGGTCGATGAACTGCAAGGCCCCAACGTCGAAACATCCGGCCAGATCTGCGACGGAAGATGGCAAAGGCTTCGGGTCAAGCTCCTGCGCTGTCGCAAAGAGTTTGATTTCCCGATTTGCATGAATATGAGTGGGCGCTGCGCCTGGAACTGGACCCTTTGCATAGCTCGAACGGCATCTGCTGCACATGCATTAATCTCATCTGCGAAGGTTGGCATGATCACGGTATCGCGCTCCAGGGCTTTGAACATTGCCTCGGCAACCTGAAAGCATCCAACATTTGAAACAAGCAATTGCCGGCAAGCATTTATCCATCCATTGCCTTCAAGCAGACCAACGTGTGCGTGAAGAAGCCTCGTCCTGCACACATTAAGAAGCTTCAAACGTGCGATTCAACTCGATTTTGCAAAGGTATCTCCAATTTGTGACAACACACATTTCTCCTGCTGAGGGATCCAACGACTGGTCCAGGCAACACGACGTTCCAGCCACAACACATAAAGAAGATAGTGGCGTTGTCTGCGTGCAAGATGCGCCATCCATCATGCTAGCTGCTACACTTTGGTAGCATTGCCTTGGCGAAGTGCCTACGTAAATTCAAGCTGCAACCAGTGCTGCTGCAACGTATATGGGTATTCATCCGAATTTGCCGAAAAATTGTGGTCTGGGCCGGAGGACGTTGCTTTCTCCAAAGCGACTCCACGCTCGCGGAGGACAGGCTGCACGGCCCACGAAGCGTCGACGGGGTGGCACAAGCGGCATCATGGCCTCCAGAAAGTAACTGGCAAGCAAATTCGTCGACCCGGTCGCCCGCTAACGACGTGGGATGATCGACTCCGCAGTTTTGCGGACTGCAATTTTCCAGCGGTGAATATGTGGACTGATTTTGCTGAAGCAACACTCAAGCACGCCCCCACTCCCCATGTCCTTGTAAGACCGTGGTCCAGGAGCAACGGGAACAGACGCGTGCAATGTTTCACGTGGACCCGAAGCACTTTTTTTTGCCTCCCCTCGTCATCCCACCAAAAATATCGTCATGTGAGCCCGCTTTTTCTGAGAACGAACGGGAGCAGGCTTGGGATGCCTGGGGCGACATCTTGCAGAGCCATGACCGTGAAAAACGACATAGAGCAACTCGTGGCATATCGTGTCATGCGCCTCCTGGCCATTGAGGGAGACAACATGAGACAACAACCGCATCGGCGGAGTGCTCTAAGTAGGGCGTCGGTGCCCGAACGTGCTTGAGCGCAACTGAATAGCTGCGTCAAACTCGGGAGGCACTGTTTGCGCTCGACATCGCTCGACCACCTCGTTCTTGCGAAGAAGGCTTAGGCGACTGGCCAGATGGCTGGTGGCCACCTCACCCGCCAGCTGCCCCAGTGCGTCCGCCGTCCACCTAGGTCGTCCGGGCCCGTGAGTCCTCGTTGCCTTGCCCAGTTCCGCCTCGAGTCCCACACCTTCTGCTGCCGCGGCCCAATTGGGAATTCGCAACATTTGGAAAGCGAAGTTGTACTGACGTCGTGCAAGCTGGCGAGACCAGGTGTCCACAGGGACTATGTGTAGCGCTGCACTCAATCTGTGTTTCATGCGAATCATAGTGCTGTGCCAATCTTCGTTTGCAATTCGCACCCAGCCAACCGAGCAGCTGCGTTTAACAGCGTGGCCAACCATCAGGGAGGGTGCGAGCGTTGGTACATGGTGACGGACTAGTCAAGTCCCGCGGCGAGTGGGGCCGAGAAACGGAGGCGGCGGGCGCGGATAACAGGGGAGGCCCAGTACGCCCAGAAGAGATATTGACTGGAGCTCTTACAGAAAAAACATGTGTCCATCGCATTAAGATTGAATTTTTCGATACAATATACAGGTATACAGCATTGATTCCAACCGTTTTGTTTGGATTACACATATTGCCGGTGACTTTGTCACAAATTCATGCATTGGACGCAGTGCAACGACGAATGCTTCGTTCTGTGGCAACCACCAAGCAGGGCTTTGCCAGATCAGGGTTTAGGGGACTGGTCCCATGGGTGGCAGCACCACGATTGTATAGCTCGAGAAACGAGGCGGAGGAACACGTCGCCCGTCGCGATGCCGCGCACCACGGCTTGCGGAGGGCCGTGAGGCATGCTAGGGCAAAGCTGGGGCGATGTCCGCGGGCACCCGTGAAAGCAAGGATCTCCATAGCACGTCGATGAGCAAACTCTACAGATGCTCCGCGCGCATGCCCGACAGCCCCGCAACCCCTCAGCTGGTCCAAGTTGGATGGGCACAGCGGCTCCTGCGCAGTGTAATGGGCGTTCGCGGTTCCGGTGGACGTCGCCGGGCGCAAGCTCTGCAAGTGAAGAGCTGGCAAGCTCCAGAAAGCTGACTTGGTGTGCAATTCCTGCGGCCAAACTTTTGATGAACGGCTAGCAACCTTGCGAACCAACCATTCAGCCGCACCGGGGATGTCGCCGCTGCACAACACCTCACAGAGCTAGCGGCCACATCTCTTGGCTCCGAAGTTGCGCTTGCGGCGGTTCTTCCGGGAATCGTCGCTGCTGATGGCCATATCCCCAATCAGCTTCAAAATTCTTTGTTGCAACAGTTTCGCGGTTTGCCGCTTGCTTCCGACTGGGACTCCGCCGTTTCCGCTTTCCGCAATGCAGGTACGTGGCCACATGCATTACGCAGTCTCTTACAGTCATACGTGCTCCTACGGAGCCTGGAGCCCGTAACCCGCTTGCTAAGTATGCTAAGTCGTCGGATCACGCGCATGCAATCTTTGGTGCGTCATCTCATGCCCGCAGTTTTTCGGAGCCTCCAGGGCAAGGTAGATTGCAGGAAGGCATTGAGGCTGCCAATGATGGGGCACATGTGTTGCAAGTATCTTTGCATGAGCATGCGTGTCAATGCTTGACTACGTCGCGGCTTGGTGCGTTCTGTCATTGTACAGTGTGTAACACAAGGATGGCCCGTGGGGTTCCTTACTACCGTTGTGTTGAGGGTTGCCGTTTTGCAGCGTGCACGGAATGTTTCCCAACACCTGCGTCAGAGCAAGCGTCGCCGACGCGTGTAGGTGATGCAGTTGCACCTGTTGTACCTGTCGTGCCAAACCAAGTGATGCGCCAGTGGCTCCACCGCAGCTCCCTCGTTTCACTAGTTTGCTCTGTTTTTTCCCTCTGTTTGTCACGAGATGACTTTGCTCGAAGGATAGGATTCGTGATATGATGGACACGCAAGAACCGACCAGACCTACGCATGGAAGGCCCGACGTTTTGGGGTGTGTGGTTGCGTTTGTTCCATGCTGGTGGTGCGGGTGGTAGCCGCTAAGGCCGTGGCCCCCGTGTTCGGTGCGGAGTCCTGTACCACGTTGCGCAGAGAACTCTGTATTTTCATGGGGATGACCAGGTCACTCGGGAATCACTATTACCCTTGTTTGAACGCTGGACGTACACCCCCTTGGACGCTCTGCTGCAACATTCGCTTGAAGACGCATCCGGCCCTGCTTCTTCGGAGGACACGTCGCAGGATACCGTGGCGGACACGGCCACTCCATCTCCGTCTCCCCCTGGCCTTGAGCCGGTCGGTCCGGAATGCATCTTGCCTTAATCCTTAATTTCTACCATGCGAACCTGCCGCGCATACTCGCTCAATTGCTGGAAGGCCAAACCCTTTTGCATCAAGCCTTGTCCGCTTTAGCCGTCCGCTTGGAGGCATTGTGTCCGCCTGCAGCTCCGGTTGCAGTTACGGAAAGTTCTGCGCCTTTGCATACGCGCCTTTTGCGGCAATTCGGTTGCCGATGCATGTCGCACTGGCTACTGCCATCGTCGCTGTTCCAACCGCCGCTGCCCGCACAATGCTGTTGCTGCTAGTTGTCCACGGGGCATGCTGTGCCCGTTCCTCGTGATGCCCCGCCTGCTACAAGGTACTGCCGGCGTTCTGATGGCCATCGCGTGGCTGCGGCTTGCGGTTCGGGCTTCTGCCCGTCTCACTGTCGCTGCTCTGCTTGCTGTGACATTAACGTGCCCCCCGCTCCACCGCCGGCGCCAGACCGCAGAGCCCCCCACGCACATATCTGCAGACGCCCCAACTGCTGGGCCCTTGTCGCCCATGAATGTCTGACTGGCTACTGCCAAGAACATTGTACAAGCTCACGCTGTGAATGTTTTAGGCCCCGGAATGGTTGCCAAGCTTCTGTAAACGCGGGGTGCCGCACCGGCTACTGTCAGCACTGTGTTTAGCCGCGCCTGTTGCAATCGTGCTCCCAATCGGTCATCGGCTTCTGCAGGGCCCTTGCAACAGTACTTGTCCGATGTTTGCTCCAACTTGCCTGTTGATGTTTCAAGCCTGCCTTCTCACATCCGCGAGTCCTTTCATACGATCTGTGCCTTTGTGCATGCCGATGGCTCGGGAAACGGCTGCGGCTCCCGTCGTCGCCATCGCGACGGGAGCCGAATGTGTTGAGCTTGGCTGTGCTTAGTACTAACCGGTTGCCAGATGGTTCTGAGCATTACGGCTTCCATGGTCTGATGGATGTATTGCGTTCATGGGGGGTTGACTTGCTGCGGAAACGAGAGCTCCAGATGGAGCCTGTTTGCCTACGGGCCAACCATACACTATTGATTGGCCCCAAGGCACCAGGGGTTGCGAAGCTGGTCTTTTGGTGCATGCCAGTTCATCCTCATGGGCCGTGAATTCCCACACCCCCAACTCCGTTTTTGGTGGAGGTGCGTTGCCCTTTCCCAGTTTAGCCCAATTTTGATTTGCCACGTTTACGCTCCTCATGTCGGCATGCCCTTGCCAGATCGTCTTGCCTTTTGGGCACAATTCCGGGCAGCTGTCCAGGAAATGCTTGTTTCGCATCCATTGCAGCCCCATGCACGCTTCATTTTGGCAGGGGATTCCAAATGGCTGGCTTGAACGTCAGGAACATGATTCAATGATGAACCCGCGCCGTGCTGCACAAAACATTCGTCGGCAGTTTGGCCCTTCTCGTCGCCCGTTGCGCGCGTGTATGCGTTCACCATCATCCCGCGATGCCGTAGAAGGCCCAGCTTGTGTCAAAGCCTGGCGGTGCCATTTCAGAGACGTTTCTGCGTCGGCTTCTTTTTTTTTTCCGCGCACCTTTTTTTTCCATAAGCTCCGCGCAGGTCCCGGTGCAGGGCTGTTGGTCTATAGGGGTCCGCTTCCGGTTCAAGCCGGCATGCGGCTCGCGAGAGGCGGGGCCTCGAAGTCTCTGCGAGGACGTCGCTGACGTCGGGCGCGGGCCCGTCGACGTTGTCGGTGGAGGCGACGGGCAGCGCGAGGAAAGTGGCCACGAAGGCCCGGGCTGCGGAAACGGCGAGCAGCGCGGACCAGCGGGCAACGAGGCGCTGGTGGCCTGGGCCCGGAATGCTGCCGGGACCGCCCAGGTCGCTTCCAGCAGCGAGTCGGAAAGCTAGCGGCGTCGGCAGCAGCCGAGAGCAGCGGCGGAGCCCTCCTTCAACGAGCTGCGGCGGGGAGGCCCTGAGCCGGGAGCCCGAGGCGGCGTAGTCGGACGAGCGAGGCGTTGCACGCGCCCATAC